AAGGTTAATTTCGATTCTAATTCTAGTCTCGTTCTTATCTAATAGGTTATTAAGCTAAGTAATCCGGTCTCTCCGAGGGTATTATAGTAGTATCGATAACGAGATCTATTACGAATACTAAACGATACGGAGATAGCGTATAGCTTTAACTAGTAGTTATTATAGGTTTCGTAGAGCTTAGAGGTAATTAAGAGCGACTATCGACTCTATTAGTATCTATATTAGTATTCGTATTCGCCTTCTTTTTAAGTAGTTTAATTTCTTTTTATAACTAAATTCTCTCCGTACGTAATATTTTATTATTAGCCTTTACTTAAGCGTTATCGGATTAACGCTTTATAATATCTATAATATCGGCTCGTAATACTATATTTTCGGCTTCTATAGTTTCTAGATTAGCTTATAATTCATTTAAGTAATTAATCTACTACTAGTAGGTAGCTTAGTCGTCTTTATAGCGTTACTTAGCTTTATTAAGAAGGTTTCGAAGTTCTACTACCTAAGACGAGTTATCTCGTAGAGACTCTTCTAGATTATCGTATCGAGCTTTAAGTTCTTCTATAGAGTCTTCTAGATTATAATTCCGTATTTATAGTTTTAGGATACGAGTCTTCTTAACCTTAATATCGTTTAGTAGAGATATAAGTTCTATACGTCGCTTCTTAGCTACTTCTTTTAATTTAGTAGCGCTATTATAAGCTTAAATTATTCTACCTATAAAGCGTCGAACGAGACGAAATATCTAGTTAGGGTTATTATTTACGTAGTTTTTAAAACTTATAGCTAAATTAAATATTAGATTATCTACTTTTAGTTCTAGTAGGCCTTTATCTAGAACGATAGCGTTATTATCCTTAACTTTCTAATATAGAAGGAAGGATAAGTCTAGGCCTATCCTATACTTCTTTACTAATATAAGAATAGGGTCTTTCGATAACTTTACTTTTAATTTCTTAGTTATAATAGAAGTAGATTAAGTAGACTACGTATCTTAAGTTTCTTCTACGTCTTAAGTGGCTTTAGGATCCTAGATAGGCGTAGGATTAATATAGATATCTTCCTCTTCCTTAGAGATATAGAATAAGTTAAAGTCGTCTAACTTATTATTAATTAGCTATTAAGTTTTAGAGTAACCTAGTAACTCTAGTTCTAGGCTAGGTTAAGTAGTTATAGCTAGTTAAGAACGTATAACTATACGAGTCTTACGAGGCGATAGTAGTATTATAGATAAACTTATAAAGTAGCTAGATTATATAGATAAGCTAGTTTTAGAAGAGATACGCGATAGCTTAGGCGTCTTAATAGAAGGACGGATATCTATATCTTATAAATCGGCTTAAATAGTAGACTACGTCGCTTAAGTAGATTAAGCGATTTAGCTAAGAGCTCTAGAACGTATAGATCGACGAGAGCTACGAATAGCGCTTAGATTACGCTTCGGGTCCCGGCCTAGCCGAGACCTCGAGCGTATATTAGCTATTAGGCGACTAATTAAGAGTTAATTACTAGATCTAGTAGAGTATTAATAAAATAACGTTACTCGACGGAGTAGTCTACTAGAAACCTTTAGAGTTTATAACCTCGGTTTACTACTCGAGACCCTAAATAAAGGAAATCTTAATTAAGTCTAACTACGAGAGATTATAACTAGTACGTATATAATAAGACTAGAAGAGTATCTAGGAAGATCTACGGAAAGACTTAAGGTTTCTAAGCTCTTCGGTAGTATATAAGGAATTCTAATCTCTTCTAGTATAAGTATACCTCGATTATAATAGAGGTTCGTTCGAGATAGAAGAATCGATCGAGATATAAGAATCGAGAGATATAAGAATCGGTCGATCGAGTAATAGGAAGGAAGAAGAGAGAGTAAGTAGAATAAGAGTAACTTAAGTACTCTCTAGGTCGGTAACGTTTTAGTAAAGTCGTAGTTACTTACGAAGCGCAGTCTGCGCTAATTAATTTAGCTACGCGACCGATAGTGTAATTTGCTCGAAGTCGATAAAGTAGTCGACTATTTACGAAGTGCGAATAGGCGCTTTTAGTAGAACCTAAATTTAATATAATCTCTAGTTAGGTTAACTAAGGAAAGCGTATTCGTAGTTATAAGGGTTACTATAAGGTCGATAGTAATATTAAATACGAGTAGGTACTTCTAGTAGGACCTAAATTTGATACGATCTCTAGTTAGGTCGACTAAAGAAAGAGTACTTATAGTTAAATAAATAGTTAAGATAGTTATCGAGTCTCGAGAGTATAAACGTCGTTTACGTTAGGACTAAATTTAATATAATCGCTAGTTAGTTAACCTTAATAAACGTAGTTTACTTAAAAGGGTAGAGAAAGTAAGCGTCTCGTACTTTAGGGCTAAATTTAATATAATCGCTAGTTAGTTAATTAAAGTATAAGATATTTATAGAGAAGGTGTAAGGGTATAAGATCGGTAGCGCTTAGTAGGACTCGAATTTAATATAATCGCTAGTCGAGTTAACTAAAGAGCGGTCGGTCTCTTATTTGTAAGTAGGTCTTAGAAAGTATTACGGAGTACTACTACGAGAGGCTTATAAACGTATATACTGTTTATAATATAAATTCTAAGACGAAGGACTATAAAAGAGTTGTACTCGGTTGCGCGTATAAGTAGTTAGCAATCGATGCGTACTAAGCCTTCGTTGCTCACGTACTAGTCACGTGTTAGTAGGCATCACGTGATGTGGTAGCGGCACGTGATAGGAAGTCGGCATGTCAATCCGTGACAAGGTATTTTAAAGATTACTATATAGAAATATATTTTATTTATATATATCTACGAAAGTATTAATTATTCTAAATAGTTTAAGACTTTATAAATATAATTTATACGAGATATAGCTATAATATTAAGTTTATTAGAATAAATAAAGAAAGATCGCTATTAAAGATCTATAATAATAACGTATAAGATAGAGATCTAATAACTAAACGAAATATACTATATACTCTTACTTAAAATAGTTATATAGAGCGAATAGACTAATTACTTATTAATATAGCTCGAATAATATATCTATATATAAATCTACTAAAGAATCTATAGCCTAAGATAGTAAAAATCGTAGAATATATCCTAAATCGATTACTATCTCGTACGCTTAGCTAGAAAACGCTATTCGAAATACTATATAGACGACGACCTAATATCTTATATATATATATATACGGCTATAAAGCCTACGTATTATAGTATAATATTTCTTAAAAAGATAAACTTTAATAACGTATATAGATTAGATATCTCGTTAAGTACGATTTAATAAATATCTTTCGAATCTAGCGATCCGATAAAGACTAGATTATATAGATACGAGACGTTATCTTTAACGATAATAAGACGTTTTTACTACTTCTATATAAAGATAATAAGTTACTATTAATTAAGTCGATATAGCTAGATATCTAAGTATATAAGCTAATATCTAAAATAGGTATAATTCTAATTAATTCTAAAATAGACTTAGCGCTAAATCGTCCGGAAAACACTTCCGACTAATTATAGGCTGAGGAGCCTTAAACGACGTTAATCTCTAGCCAATTAGAGGCTAAGGAAGCCAAATCACGTGAAGCACTAACCATACGTGATTCTGTAGATAAATATCTGTTGGCAGGTGCGCTAAAATTGTCGCATTTGCTCTCGCTCTCTCCACTTTACAGTATATAGAGCACTCCTATATATACTATAGAAATCGGAGAGAATACCGTATCTAGGCTGCGCAACGGGTTGGGTAGGGCAGGGTTTTAGGCACCTACCGCCCGCCTAGTTAACCTATTAGAGTTTTTAAAAAAAGCGCTACCCTACCCGCGAGGGTTTTAGGTAGGGTAGGGTACCCGACGGGTTTTATTAAGAATCCTAAAATTCTTAAAAAAGCGAGTTTTTTACTAAAAATAGCGACTTTTCTTATATAATCGTATACTAATTTATAATATCGTATCGTAATTTTAGATATTTTCTAGTAAAATCGCGTATTTTTCGTAAAATACGGTAAAAATTTTAAGAGGTCTACTCGCTTAATAGAGCGGCTCGACCCTAATAGGTACCGCGGATAGAGCTTAGATTTTAGGTACTCGCCCGGGGCGCCCGTTAGGCTTCGGGATGCCTACCCGGCCTAACCCTTAGGGTAGCCCTAATGCGGGTAGGGTCGGGTTGACCCGCGCCACTGCGCAGCCTAGACTTAGTCTTAATCTAAATTTATAGTTAGACTAATCTAAAGAATCTTCTTAAGTCTTATACTTCTTATAGTAAGATAGAGAAAAAGAAAAAAGATACTATACTTAGACTCTAAAGTAAGAGTAATAAGATAATATAATAAAATCTTACGACTTAAGTAAGAGAAACGTTTAGAAGAGTAAATTATTATACGAAGAACTATAAAGAGAGTCGCGAGTACTCGATTAGTAGAAGTACCCGACCGAGGCTCGCGGATACGCTATATCTAAATATTAATTAGGGCTTAGCGTTATCTAAGTTACGTAGTTGTGGTTACGTGCTAGTTAGGTGACCACTACTACTAGGCTTGTTCCGTGACACTTAGGCGCATAAGATCCAGACAACCTTATTAGGCGCCACTAATAGTAAGGAAGGATTACCGAAGTATTATATAGGCTATTACATAACTTCCGGAAGAGGTAATCTAGAATATACTACTATACTATTATACTATTAAGGTAGATAGTAGAGTGATAGAGCGAAAGAGTACTATAAGTTTTCTATATCTATATAGTCGTCGATCTTTTATAGTTAAGTTTATAGTCTCTCGTAGTTAACTTTCGTTATAAGTTAGACAATATATTTCCCGATCTAGCTATTATTTATAGAAGACGCCTCTTCTACCTATACTTAACTAGATCTTGCCTTCCCTCTCGTTAGTAAATACTAACCGAACTCGTAATACCTGTGGAACGATTCGTGATAAAGTGGTCGAAACGCGGGTTTAAACCGACGGTATTGAGATGCTGGCCGCGAACACACCCTTAGCTCTGTTGGTATTGCATAAGTTGGTTGGGTGCTAAAATTGGGTGGGGACGGAATTCTGACGACCCCTGGGTGCCTGTTACTTTTGGACCCGAGGCGTCGGTGTGAATGTCCCTCTACGTTTTCACGTCGCTCTCTTGAGCTTGATACAGTGCCGGAGTAGCCGATTTGGATTTGGCAGACAATGTTGGAACTTTTGGTCGCACCAGTGGACCAGTTCTCATGCGCAGTGGGCTCTTTTTGAGCCACCAAGATAGTACATAAGGCTTGTCGCCTTCTTGTTCAATCGTGATAGACAAGGTCGTTCTGAGAACCATTCTTGAGACAGACCCGCGTTCCTTCACGCCGTCTTAAATTGTCCCAGCAAAAGATGCTCAAAACCTCCGAGGGATATGAATATACCCCAAGCACGGGATTGAGACAAGGGTTGCCTACCGCCGCGGTAGTATCGCCCCCTCAGCTGCGCGTGTCGACGGCGCAAACATATGATGTGATCGTGATAGGCGCAGGGTTTGCTGGCATTATCAGTGCTCGAGATCTTCTCGCGAAAGGTAACAAGGACAGAGAATTGTTCTGACTCGGTCGTTACTGATAATGCTCCTTCACCTGGCAGGCTATAAAGTACTCCTAATCGAGGCTCGTGACCGCATCGGCGGCCGTACTTGGACCACGCAGACCGAGAACGGGGACTATCTCGATATCGGTGGTACCTACATTCATTGGGCTCAACCTCACTTTTGGGTAGAGCTAGTCCGCTATGGCTTGAAAAATGAGGTCAAGAACTGCCGGGAATATTTCCAAGGCTCGGCTCTACCTGTGACTTTCTTGAATGGTGAAAAAAAGACATGGGAACCCCATGAACTGGTACGACTGAATTCAACCCTGCTCCACCCCCTGAATGCGGGCTAGGTTATAGGAAAATGACCACTAATCTGTCCTGGAGCCTGACAGCATAACCTTCTGGAGAAATGCTTGCAACTTTACTACAACCCGGACGGCGAGAGAGCCTCTGATGTAGTTCCGCTGCCGCATAGTCCACTTTCAAACATCGCTCGGGCAGTCCACTTCGACAAAATGTCGGCTGCCGACCGATTTTCACAATTAAAAGGTGAATTGAACGAAGTTGAGATCGCCATGATAGAAGCATTCACGATGGCAATGTGTGGTCCGCCGCTTGAAGAAGCGAGCTACTTTGACCTTCTTCAGCGCTGGGTACTCGGAGGGGGGACTTCCGAGGATTACAACGCCCGCATGGTCGGCTACAAGTTGAAAAGAGGTCAGACGTCCCTTCTCCGGGCCATCTTCGATGAAATCAGCTCCAACCCGAACTTATCTTGGACATTTTCCACCCCGGTTCAATCGATTGATACGTCTGGTCTCAAGGTCGCATCTGTCGTGGCAGCGAATGGCAATGTCTTCCATGCTCGCAAGGTCATTTGTACCATCCCCCTGATGGTCCTCAGAACAATTAAATTCGTTCCGGAACTGCCGATCCCGAAGGCGGAAGCGATTGCCAGCTCAAGGTCCAATCTCACGCAGAAAGTCCACGCAGTGGTTGACGGGAAGGAATGGCGCTCGTGGACCGGCGTGAAATTCGTGAACAACGGAGTGACAATGATGAGCGGCGATCCTTACTCCAACTCGACAACCACCACGAATCTTGTTGTTTTCACTGCCGGAGACGGTCGTGTACCACGCGAGAATCCCCAAGAGCAGCTGGAGGTGTTCCAGTCTATGGATCCCTCCCTAAACGTGAGCCGACTGGTAAGCTTGTTATCTCGTGACTTTAACGTGGCGATCTTCTAACAGAACCCATACCACAGGTGTTTGGCGACTTTAACAATGACCCGTATGCACGGGGCAGTTGGTGTCTATTCCAGCCAAAATATATGACTCGATATTTATCCCTGTTGCAATGCGGTGTGGGAAACTTGAAATTTGCCAGTGGCGACATTTCTGACGGCTGGAGAGGCTTTATCGACGGCGCAATAGAATCTGCCACGCTAGTCGCAAAAGAAGTGGATGGAGAGCTCAAGCATGAACGCACTGGCAAGCTTTAGGGAGCTTTTAGGGGGATGTATTGAACCAATGGCATATTTACGGTCGACTCAGTAGCGTCCAGCCAGTGAAACAGTTGCGCATCATGTACATTATCGAATCTGATAATGTAATGAGAACTAGTTTTTCACAATAAAGTAGCTAGGCTGGCGTTACCCAAAGGACGCTATGGTGGTACAACTCTTTACCACCTTGTTGCGCTCACATTCAAGGCAGACTCAGTTTTGGGAAAAGCTTCCGTAAGTATTCTTCGATTTACCAGGAAAAGCTCCGGCGACTGCTGCGTCTATCAGATACATTGAAGATTCTTTCGGGCCCGCGATGTGGTGATTTGTCCTTGCTCATGTGTACAAGTCGAGCACCAAGATTGCCTGGCTGTGTCAGGTTCATGTCCTTCCCGTGAAATTGCATTGAGTTACAATCATGCCGCGAGTTAATCATCGTCTTGATCCGCGCAATGGCTGTTTTCCGGCGTCACACAATTTCCCAACCTTTCTAGTGCTTCCACCCTCTCTGACTTCGAAACTGGTAGCCCTTTATCTTTCCACATTCTCGGCGACTTGCAGCCGAGCAGCAAGATGTTCAACAAACAATGCATGAGGAGCATGATAGTGTGTGCGAGCATACACCAACCAGTTTATCCCGAAGATGACCAAACCTGTCACTCCACACACAGACGCCCAGTTCATGTTGGTAGGGGTGACTGGCTGGTAGGTGGGGAAATTCAAGAATATGACGGTCAGAATCTGCCAAGCAATCGCAAGATAGTTTATGAAGAAGCCGAACTTTCCAAGGTTGAAGTAGCGTTGTGGATGAAGATGACGGCGGCGGGTTCCGACATTTAACCATATGGGCAACCCGTAAGAGAAGAAGAAGCACACCGCGGATGCACCGAATATGCCGTTGAGAATGGTTGACGGCCCGAACATAAGGAGGCCGATTAGCGCGGAGGTGATTGTCGTAAGGTAGACGGCGTTGGTCGGAATTTGGCTATGTTGTTCGACATAGCCCACCCATTCAGGAAAAGGCAGAGCGCCGTGTTTGGCGAAGGACCAGATAAGACGACTACCCGTCGCTATAGTCGCCGGACAGGACGAAAGATAAACAAGGCAGTATATGACTAGTGCAATTGTGAAAAGCACCTTTGAGTCAAAGCCGTCCAGGAAGAGTTGAAAGATCGGCTGACCGCCCACCGGCGAGAGAAGTCTTTCCGGCTGTGAGGAGCAAAAGAGGTACACCAGGATCATAGGGATACCCGTCAGCACGCTCATTATAGAGCTACCCATCATGACCAGTGGGACCTGGCGGTCCGGGGCGTCCATTTCCTCGCTCATGTGAGCTGCCGTATCAAAAGAGCTGACAGCCACGTAGCCTGGTAGGAAGCAAAGTAGGAAGACGAGTCCATCAGAACTCCACCCAGTCGCATTGATCACTTCGACAAAAACGGTGTGCGCCGATGCCTTCGGGTGAGTGCGCACTAGAAGTGCGACGAGAATATAGACACTTCCCAAATTGATGAAAACAACCATGAACTTTGTCATATGTGGGTAGAAGTTGAAAAGCCAGATGTTTAGAATCAATCCGAGCGTGGCACATGACAGCGACATGAGAAATATGTGGAAAAGCTTGACCTTGTATTCGGGAAATCCGACTTGTGCAGCCGCCGATATGATCTGGGCAGAGAGCACGAAGGTGCCCGTGTTAGCGAAGATCCAGCCAAGAGACGTAGCTGAGCCGTTGACATAACTGAGAAAGCGCTTCCATTTCGGGGGCGAGAGAGCCGCCGTCCAATAGACTTGGCCTGCAGATACGTTAGTCACATTAAGAGCCACCGAGCACCAGCGCTTTGAGAGAAGCATCTACCAGAAGCATGCGGGTATACTGAAGCAATCTCAGACAAACTTGTGCAGACAAGAAGCTGTCCCACAGAGGCGACCAAGAAGGCATAGAAGAAGAACGGGCTGCCTCCAGCCCCGAGGATAAATGCAAGGTAACTGCCGATGGCCAGAGGCGTGCCAGTAATACTGTACTGGATGCCAATTGCCGCCAGGACACTGAATCTGGATCTGAGTTCTCTCGCCTCGACATTCGTTGCTTGGATTATGGTTGCTGGGATGATGGTGGTGCCAACCGTCTCATACTTGGATGAGCTGGGCTTGATAAACTCGCTGGAGGCTGTCATTGCTAGCAAATGTCTTGAAAGGATGTAACAAGCTCGGTCCCGTGGCGATTGCAAACGAGAGGTTGTCCTCGACACATTCTGCGAACGGCCGTCCGAAGGTAATATATAGCCCGTGACACCTTATCCATGGTGAAGCCTGAATGATGTTGAAGTCTGCCCTGGACCACCGAGCTTGTTGACGGTTCTGGAGAGTGGAAGATTCGCCACCATCCTGTAATTTTGTCGTCTGACTTACTTATGATGAGGTTGACAAGTTCTAATTACACAGATAGGTATCAGGGCCCTTTTATCCCCATACTAAGGCTCTAGTCTAGACTAGCCTAATTAGGTAGGCTATTATTTTATCCTTCTTTTCATGATATTATGGTACTCCTACTTAGCCTTCTGATTTAGGCGGTAGTCTCACGCCTGAGAGTATCTTTTTATGTTATTATATCGTAAGGGGTATAACTCTATTATTATTATTATTTATTATAGTTCAAGTACGAGGTTAAGTTTAGTTAAGGCGGGGTAGAAAGAGGGTTTATCTCGTACCTCGCCTATTTAGTACAAGCACGATTAATACTCGAATATGAGTTAAATAATATTTAAATACTAGTAATTAATTAAGGTGCTATTTAATGCGTTAGATAGAGTAAGTCTTACTTATCAATTTGATATTAATATTATGTAATAGCGATATATACGTAAGTAGGAACCTAGGCACGAAGCCCAGGCTTATAACCTATCGTCTAAATTAGTTATTATCAGGTTACTAGGTTCTAATTATATAGACAGGGCCCCTTTATCCGCATGCCAAGGCTCCAGTCTCCTAATCAGGTCGGCTGTCATTTCATCCTTCTTTTCATAACATCCATACCATAGGTAACAAACATTCGGTATGAGGATCCCGCTCGGTGTCAATGTCCAAATTCGATGCCAGACGGGCTGAGCGGGGAACGGGGCTCCGCATCCAGCAAGTTCATCAGGAAGTTGAGGGACCCCACAGGGTGTGATAACGTTCTCGGCTCCTGATAGCTGGATAGGTGTCAATTTCTAATTCACTGTCTCTGCGCACGAATTCGGCCTCAATTACTCAACCCTGAACAAGGAGCTAGTGGGAGTGTGCGTTTCAATCTCTCTCTGTCTCTACATAGTTGATGTTTTCCGACCGCTTTTCAAAGTGGCCGAGGACAATCTCTAGCGCCGCCCTACAACTGTCTTCCAATGCGGGCCAGGACTCAAGCGCGCTCGTCTCCAGACTCGACGACCTCGAAGCAACGGAACTCCAAACGACGCACCAAGACATTTACTGGCTGCTGGACATGCCGAGAACGCCGTGTCAAATGCGATGAAAAGCGGCCTGTGTGCCATCGCTGCACAAGGTCTGGAGTCCGCTGCCGGGGCTACGCAGCTCACTTCACCTGGATCAACTGGGACGCACCAAATGAGAGAGTCATGGCCGACCCTGGACAAAGGGGAGAGAGACTCTCCAAAGAACGTCACGTCGGAGTAATGGTTTATCCTCCGTCCTGTGACCTTCACATAAATTTACAGAGAGTGGAGGAGTACCTGATCGACTTGGACCAAACGCCGAACTCCCCCTGTTCTCGCACCCAGGGGCCCTTCTCTGTGTTCCCAGCCCGCAATCCCGGTACCACGGACGGCTTTGGCTCCGACGCAAGCCAGCCCAACTTTTGCACCGGGTACAACGATGATGAATCTGCAGGGCAGAGCTCAACTACACCAGCTACGCTTGACGATAGAGAGGTATTTTCTCCATCGCTAGCATCGATCGTGTTTCAAGGTCAGACTGGATATTTGGGAGCCGATGGCACATTGCCAGAACCTACCAAGTGCTGGTCTCGAGGGTCCAGATCTATGAGCATCTCCGGTCTCGGTGTCGCCACCGGGACGCTCAAGGAAACTGACGAGCTGGCATCCGAAGCTCCGACCTGGTCCGTGGCGGATTCGCGACGAGAGATCCGGGTGTTTGATGATCGATTTGATTACATGGCAAGAGGACTCTCTGTCTCGGATGAGTCTCCAGACTTCGCAGCCTCGCCCTTCCAAGAAGTTTTGCCATGTTCTCACCAAACCCAAGGCCTGGAGGCGAACGCTCCAGAGAGAACATCCTCAATGGTCAGGCACATCGACCTTCTCCAAGCTCCGGCCTACCAGCGCAAGTTGATTTACCACTGGGTCACTTACCTGAGTGGGAATATGATAGCCGTCGACCGCGTTAACAATCCGCTGCGTACCCGTTGGATGGCCATGGCGCTGGACGGACTCAACTGCGACAAGGCCCAATCCAACGGCTCCGTCGCTCTCTATCACGTGGTCTGTTCCCTGTCCTCTCAGAATCTCTCGATGCTTCACGGCGGTGGCCACGACCGTGACCACGATGACCAGTGGACGTGGCTTTCCCGACAACATGACCAGCACGCATCCCATCACATGCAAACCTGTCTGGCTAAGCTGGACGGTAGCCTCAAGGGCGACCCCGCGCTCGCACTGGCCATCCTCACCTCTGCGATCAAGAGTACAGTATCGGGCTGCCCGGGGCAGTGGAGGGTTCACCTTGCTGGGGGTCTCAAGTACCTCAGCCTCCTGGATCCCGGGCTCGATCGTACCATTCTGGACGACTCGATCATTCAAAGCTACCTCTTCCTCGCCGCGTGTTCCAACATGCAGGTGCCGCACCAGACCATCTCGTTTCTGAATGCACTGCCAGATCAGAGCTACTGTCTCGACGTCGACCTCGGCATCCCCAAGACTCTGCTGAAGATGCTGCTCACGATAAACGCGCTGGGTTCGTCGGGCCGGCGTCCGTCTCGACGCCAGATTGACCTACTCGAACTGGAGCTGTCGCTCAGCGTCCCAGCCCTGTTGGCCGCGGATACCCTTGATCCTGGCTCCTGCCGTCGGCTGCAGCACGCGGCCAACGTGTACTATTTCGCGTTGTTGATCCACTTCCGCCGCGTCGTCCGCCAGGTGCCACCGAGCGAGGTGCAGGATCTCGTCGACCACGCGCTACAGCATCTTCCCAAGACCGAAAGCGCCGACGAGCGCGATATGGGCATCATCTCCGCCTGGCCAACCCTTATCATCGGTGCAGAGTGCCGCACTCCGGCCCAGCAGCGCCTGATGCTAGCGTGGTTCCACCGGCAGCAGAGGAAGGGCTTTGCAAACCTCGGCTCCGTCTCTCGCATTGTGTCCAAAGTTTGGCGCGAATGCGCCTTGAGCGCCTGCGGCTCTGCCGTTTCTTGGCAAGACATAGTTGAAAGATACGAAGACCTTGATGTGATCCTAGTATGAATTGACGCAAAGCTCTTTTCTAGACCTCCTGGCCTCGTTGATACAGCCTCTATGCGTGTGAAATTCTGCAAAGGTATGTTAATCTGAAGGATCGATTGGACCAAGCGCTATGGTTGGAGGCAGGAATATTGGCCAAGCTATGGAAGTCCTACTTCACTGCGACATGATCCAGTCGAGGGGCCAGTATAAGGCTACGGATGCCCAAAAAGCTGCATGATACACGATGCCCCGAATACTTAGAGAAACTCGAATCCGAAACAACTTTGGCAAACATTGGACTCGTCGTGTGAGAAGCCCTTGCTTTCCAGCACGACGACATGCAGATAATTGCCACAACGTGCCATTATTCCTGTGGACTTTTGGCGGGAACCGTCGGAGGCGCGGTATGCGTTGAGGATGTCTCAGAGTTGGGACTAGGTTGTTAGTTTCAAATCATCCGCCTCTATGTGTTCATACTTTGGACCACATGCCATTCCACAGTAGGTACATGGTTGTCCTCCTCGCGGAATCCTTTCGATGATTGCACGTCTGTAAAATTCCCCGTCGGCTGTCAAGATATCGCCCGCCGGTCCATGGCTGAGGACGCCGAGAAACCTCCTTGCCAACCGTGTTAGGAGGTACCCATGAAGAAGAAACGATCGTGCTTTACCACTCATCACGGCCGGCAAGAAGAGATATGACTTTCGACACTTCGTCTATCACGCCAGGACGGCAATCGGCCGGTCGAACGAAGGCAAACTGGTCGACATCATCGTGAAAAGGTAAGCCCGGGGGGTTTGTGAGGCGCCACTTCTGTTTATCCGAGTTAATAGAATAATATGATTCGAGCATGAGGAGTCGTCGGTCGGTCATGTCGGGTTGATGGTGGCACTGGACGCGGAGGTGAGAATGTTATGCCACGATAAATGCAAAGATGCAGAAGACGTTGCTAGGGAGGCAACCATACCTAGGTAGGCACTGTCCCTGATCATGATTTCGTGGAGACATTGCCAGCACTTTCAGAGGCAGGAGCGAGGCTGCCACCTCCGCAGTGGAAGGAGCGGTGCAGGTACTCCTGGTCTACTAGTACATTGAAGACAGGCCGGGTTCAAGCTATGAACGCCCAACTACTAGACACTGCACCTGGACAGGCCTTCCACTTTACGGAAAGTCTTGCATCTCGTACCAGGTATGCTTGCTGTGTCCATAGTACATTCAACCCAGAAAGTCGGGTTGATACAAGTAGATTGCCATTGTAGCAAAGTTGCAGTTGCCGGCCAGATGAGCAAAAGGTGACAGACAACATTGAACCTGGGATTTAAAGATTCCACACTTTTCGGACAGTCTCTTCATCCCTCTTCCTCCACCTCTCTGCGTACCTAGGTATGTCTGAGCGCACCGCCTTTTCTTGACCGGGAAAAGTATTCTTCAAGACTTTGAGAAATCAAACAAGATCCGGTCTGACATCGTATGGCCAGTGAATTGACCCTGCCTAACCTACATCCGTGCCTCGCCTTGGTAGGGCGTGCGCTCCGTGCTTCTCCGGGCCAAGTATGTATCATGATCAAGACGCAGACGCAGATGGGATACAGACACATTTCCCTGGCCCCAGCATAACTCTCGCCCCTCCCCCTCTTTAGTCTGGTCTATCTCTCCCTCTTCGTCCTCCATCACCAGACCTAAGTCGATGCCTGAACGGGCGCCGTTTGGGGGTTGAATGGCAGACACATTATGGGTTGATTAGTGGTGGGCAGGGTTGAATTGGAAGAGATGGTAGATTTGCGGAGACACATAAGGTAGGTATGACAACGTAAACAACCGAAAAGGGATTCAGATGGAACAGACCTGTGGTCGCTGTGGGTTTCACTTGCGATAGTAAAAGGATGAACAACGAAGATTGCGCATACAATTTCTGGGCAGGCTACTGAAAGTCCTTGGAAGTGAGTGGTTGTTTTCAATCCATACATAAGGCAAGTAGATATCTGATCTCAGAATCGTCTTCGCAAGAAAGGTCGGAAGGACGCTTTGGGGAAGTCTCAGACCCCATGGTTGATAGAGTCAAGCCGACTGAGTCCCTGATGAGTGCGTGAACCCGTTTGGCAGTTCCTAATGAGCAGCTGCGCACATTGACTGGTGTGCCTGTCTTGCCTCGAAACAATCGAAAGGGCCCCTCGTGGTATGCCGAGGTGTAGTTGGACGAGACGTATCTCGGGTAGGGAACGATGCAATCTTTTAATTGCCATGTAGCTGGGTAGTTGAGGTGGTATGCATCGCTCGAGCTGGAGCGTGAAAGTACTCCTCTCGCTCTTTGTGTTTCTGAGTTCATTCAGATTGTTTGTTTTCCGGTCAGACCTGACGGAGCGTTAAGATACGGCGATAAGTGATTGATAGTCACCCGCTCGACGACCTGATTGACTTCTATTGGTATTGTTTTTCGTGCATATGTTGCTTGCACCGTTCACTCCTTCGAGTGCTCACGGACTGTCCACAACGGCGCAATGGTTTCCACCGCCCTTTCCACTACGGCTTTGACACGATCTCGCAGGACAGTGGTGGTGCATTCGACGTCCAGGTCTTCCAGCCACAACCTGGCGACGTGCTTGTCAAACCGGATCTCCAGCCCAGGAACCGGGATGCCCAAGGCCGCCAGTCGAGCACGCTCCGCAGCCTCAGCGCTTTCCATATCAAGCTCTTCTTCTTCTTCTTTTTCTGTATTTGGAGCATCCCCCTCCTGCTTATGTGAGCCATTCTCTATTGCAGCAGGTTTGATGTCTGCCCGATACTGCAATCTGGGCTTTTCGATGGGAGTGATGGAATCACCAAACTGCTCTTCGAGAAACATGCACAGTCGCAAGAACCGATCCTGCGGCGTGAGACCCGTGTGTGGGTTTTGTGGCAGCACTTTCTTTTCTCCATCATCATGAGCGTGCCCATGTCCATGGCCATGTGAATGTGATGATTTGCTCGCAGAGTATTTGACAGCGGCGGGACTACTCTCGACCGTCATAAGTACTGCCATGACGGCATCTGCGATTCCATCGTTCATCGTGTTTCCTTCCCATTCCAATTCGACTCGTTTGTCTCGCCCAGACCACTTCAGAGTCACGCAGCCCATGATGAGAAACATGCGTGCCGGTTCCGCCACGATCTCCTCGTCGGCTTCTTCATATTTGGCGCCGTTTTCCCCGTTGGTCAATTCGCCTTTTGTCGGGCCAGAGTTATTTGTCTCCTGTTTGACGCCAACCTCCTCGATACTGCCAAAGGTACCCTCGAGGGCCCATCGGATGAGCTCAATCCCAGCCGCAGCCAGGGTGATATGCTGTCGGCACAAAATCGTGGTTGTCGTCAATCCTGCATATTCACGCAAGTCTTCAGGCGCCATCAGACTGAGCTTGAAGCCATTCTGCACCAATACACCACTGACCACACGGGTGTCTTCTGGGTCCGTGGAAGCCGGGGGCGGTATCTGAGCCAACTTGCCCACAACTTTGGCCATTTTGTCCTTTTGATATGGGATCTTGATTTCCGCGCCATTCTCTGGGCTGTACACTTTGGTCTGGTGAGCGTGAGGGTTGCTCGCCAATCGACGAGAATTCAGGTCCAACAGCCGCGACCTTAATCGTGCGGCTTGGGATCGTTCGCCATGGACCAGGATGACATGGGGTGAAGCGACTTGCTCAATAAAGTCCACATTCTCAACACCCGTAACGTGGGCGGCGAACTGGAACTCTTCCACCGTACATCGTCGAGGAATCATGACGGCGCCCTCGTCGTCTCTGCCCTTTCGACCCATCTGTTGACCTACGCCGGTGTTACCGCCGCTCATTATTGCTGGGATCATCTCTGGCTCCGACAAAATGGTACGAGCCATGGTTCCTTCAACGTTGTAGCCAGTCATGATTACTCCGTTACGCGGATCCGGGGCCCATCGTTCGAGTAGAACACGGGACATGCCTGACTGTAACATACCAGGGGACGCCAACATCACACACCCGCCCACATCGTCGAAGCGATCCAGATTTCGTAGACTTCGGACAAATCTGAAATCCCACGGACCGGCACTGACACCTTTGGCATTTCCTGCAGCTTCTGCTTCCGCCATACGCTCACGGAAGATTCGTTTGATGTTGTCGTTCATGGCATTGATGTACGTCTGGTACACCACCATACATTTTCGCGCCGTGTTTCCAGTGTAGTAGATGGGGTATTTCTGCAGTTCCGGGTGTTTCGACCAGTAGTCCTCCAAGATAAGCAGGAGTTCTTGGGCTCGACCGAGAGCAAAAACGGGCATCAACACCTTTCCTCCACGATTCAAAATATTCGTCACTGCCTTGAGCAACCCAGCTTCTCTTTCCGCACGGGGCGGGGCGTTTGAAATGCCAAAAGTGGATTCAGTGATGAGGAGATCGATTTTGCCGACTGTAGATTTGTTTGGCACTTCTGCAGCAACAAGGTGTCGATCTTGTTCTCGTGAGTAGTCGGCAGTAAACCAGATGTTAAGTCCAGCAATATTAATCAAGAACATGGCAGCTCCAAGGACATGGCCGGCTGGATATGGAGTGATCCTGACTCCGGACACTGTATGAGTGGTGTAGAAATCGATCGTCTCGATTTGTGGCAGGGTTGAGATGTGGTCGGCTTCGGTATACAGCGAGGTCCGCTGATCGGAGGTGGATGAGGTATTACTCACTCGGACCGAGTCTTGGATGAGCCATTTGTAGATTGCTTTCGTAGGGTGGGTCATGAAGACCCGTCCTTTGAAATCGGTCTTCGCCAGGACATAAGGCAAGGCTGCCGCGTGGTCAAGATGGAAACTGTAACATGTCTGCCGTTAGCCACTGATACTAGAGGACGGACGGCTCAGTTCATCACAACAGGCTCGGAAGCGGTGGACAAAGGCGTAGTGACTAGAAGCAGGGACATGAACACATTGGGTGAACAAAATTGTATTGATGTCTGCCTATGAATACAGAATCGTTCACAATCGTGACCTTTTGGTTCACAAACGATACAATGGTATCCCTTGTATAGCGTTGCCATACATCGCCATTCTGGTGTCGCTGACATCTTCTTGGAACTCCACCCGGACAATACAAGATCCATGAAAATAAGGGGATGGTCACCTACTGGCTGATCAAGAGAATGTCCACGGTACTGAGATCGAAGTCGTCAAAGTAGGGCATCGCTGACATGCCTTCCCGCCCTGTATGCATCCCGGCATCGAGCTGTACACCGGTCAATCTTATGTCCCAAATACACGCGATTTCTTCTCACCATAACAGTCTTGCCCTTATATTGTAGGATATGGCACGAGCGGCCAACCTCTTGACAACCACCCAGTCCAATGAACACAAGTTCATCTGAAGGGTCCACGGGGTCTTCTTCTTCGACCGACGACATGGCCGCGGCCTTTCTTTTCGTCGCCATCTTGGACGGTGGCTGCCGAGGACGATCTCAAGAGGTCTTAAGCATCGATATGCGCTTGGTCGGGCAAGGAGACGGGGACTGGGGGTGCGAGAGTTGTCACTACTTGGTTAGTGTGTCACGGCTGAGCGTAGCATGAATCGTGCTGCAAGACGAGCACATCAAATCACCCAAAGCTCAATGAGACGATAGGCCAAGGAAGGTGGATCAATGATGCAAGAAGAATGCTGGTGTTTGAATATGGTTGTTGAATGGAATTCGTGTGTTCAAGAGTCGCAGGAACAAAGGCAGTAGTTCAAGTTCAAGTTGTAGATTGTTCTGCTGTTACTAGTAGCCACTAAAACTACTAGCGCCTAGATTTCCAAGGACTAACCGCAGGGCTAGGGATTATACTATTCAGCCTGGGGCAGCTAAACCAACTTGAATAACTACCTGGGTATTGTGGTCACGTGTCACTCGCTCAACACAGTAATAGTATTGTACTCTGTAAACGGCAGGCTGCCCTGCGCTTTACAAACCAAAGCCGTGACCCATCACGTCTACCACCAACGATGCTGTAGCAGTAGTTCAGCATCTCCCATCTCTCATATCCCTTACTCACTCACATGGAGCGAAGTCGCGTTCAGGAATGCTAGGGACGAGAAGGGAGCTGAGCGTCGCAATACGCTCACTCATCAAGCAGGAACTTGAAGCAAGACAAACGATCGGACGGAATCTTGCTTCATACACCATTTAACACCACCACCGCCTCGATTGCCATGGCTCAGTCACAGCCGCCGCCTGCGCGGCCACCGCTTCCTCAATCTCAAGGCTCCTTTCAGCGTGATTTTGCCGCGCCGAATGGCCGACCTACCTCACTTGGACCTCAGTCCCCGCCGATAGCCATGAACTATTCCGCATCCTCACCTCAACCGTTCTCGCCTCAACAGTATACTCAACCACCAGCTGCGAAAAGACCGAAACTTTCTCCCGAGGTTCATTCTCCTTTCCCGTCTCAGAGCTATCCTTCTACGCCAGTCACGCAGCCGCCAACCCCAGGCGCGAACGCGCAGATGAATGGTCCTACAACTCCTGCTCCACGGAGCGGTCTCATGCCACCTCCACAGCGACCGACCGACAAAGCCGAAGATCGGAACTACGAAGACATCTTATCAGGAACTGGAATTAATATTGAAGAGGAAGCCAGGATGCTTGTCAGGCCGGACTATTTAGGTGGTGCTGTGCCGAAACCATCTGCGCGGCAACAACCGGGAACGTTTGATTATCAGTCAAATTCCTTTTCTCAAGCGGCTTCCAACGGGGCGGCCTCAGCATCAAAGCCAGAATCGAGCGGAGGTCAGGATTCATCTCAGCAATATCAGCCGACAGCGGAGGAACTAAAGCGAAGAGAGGAGGCACGTGCAGACTGGGAGGCAGCTAGGCATAGCCAGCACCCTCTGTGGGATCTGTTTTTGCTGGGCGGCGCGTTGAACGAGAGGATCCGGAACATCAGTATAACTGAGCATTTGATTGATCCGCAATCAGGAGTGTTGGTGAATACGCAGAAACATGCCCCGCCACCTACTGTACGGGTCAACGGTTTAGAGGGGGCTTCGCGGATCATTGATAAGGGCCAAGCCATCCTGGATACGGGCCAGAAGGGTGAACGGCTATCGGATATCATGAAAGTCATCAGCTTGGCTACAAAGGCGCGCATGACTGGTTTGGTCAGCGCAGCTTCGAGACTGGCGCTGGAACGGCAACTCCATTCCAAAGGAAAAGTGCCAGAAGAATGGCAGGACATTGCTGTTCCGGTCAAATCGGCCACGGACGTGCCTGAAGGAGCGTCCAGTCCTGTGGGCAGGTCCAGCTTGAAGCGTGAGTGCTCTCATTTCTTCGTGTCATTCTGTACTAATCTCTTCCAGGTACATACTCCGAAGCAAACTTGAACGTTGAAGTGGCTTCGGCGGATGGAGGTCCTCCACGCCTTGTTGCAGTCTTGGACAAGACGTCTCAATCGGAACGGAGTACTGAAGACATGCGACGACAGAAACGACAGAAACGACGAGCAACTGCGCAGGCTGAGGGCACATCTACGGGCGAAGCAACGCCGGACGCCGCCCTGGCCGCCGCCCTGGAGTCGGACAAGAAGACAACAAAGAAAGAGAGGAAACTCGCCGAGTCGAAATTTACGGAACAGCAGCAACACAAGTCCGCCAACGAAGCAGCCCGGATGGCCGTGTCTAGTATGCTGGGAAGCCGGTTTGGAGGCAAAAAGGCGAGGACCTATGACTGGATGAATGCCGGCAAGGGAGGAGCAGCAAGTCCAGCCACGACGCCCGGAAGGCCTCTGGGATCAGGTTCAACATCAGTCGTGGGCACTCCAACTCCAGATCGGGGACGGGCAGCGTCGAAGGAGAAACACTTGGGTCAGTGGGACGAGGCCAAAGATGCCAAAATCCAGGCCCGAGATGTATTGCTTGTGCTGGAAAGCGACGGAAGAGCCCCAAAATCCTATGTGCGAGGCACTAGCCTGCCACGAAGCTGATTGTTGCATCTGCACTGGCATTTCTAGATATGGTCGGTCACTGGAGGGATGGGTCTAGGGCCGGGAGCATCTTTGTTGCATGGGCGACAGCATGGATTTTGTAAAATAAATAGGCCACAAAACGACAGTTCTTCCCATGTGAACCTGTTCCGACCCGCTGACAACCTTGAAGTTAGCAAATGGCAATCCGAGGAAGATATGGCAACTACTCCGGTAGTAGCCAGCTTGTACACAGAGGTCAGGCTGAGCAGATCCACTACTGGGCTACATAGAGTTCAAAGACCTTTCTATCCATGCACCTAGTTGCCATGTGTAGTCCTGAGTTGACGGCTTGGGCAAAGACTGCCTGTTACAGAAGGGGCTGATGCAGAAGTGTCTCTCGTGCCGCTTCACGATCAGGCCTTCTGTGCTGTCCACATTCTGACCACAAAACTGTGAGCCCGGCGGGTGCGGGTGGCGGAGTGCCGCCAATGCGAACAATGCCACAACTTATCACCTTAGTGTACAATCACCAAACCTACTGTATTGACTTGTATGTCCGTTTTGAGCCCTCCCTAGGACTGGTTCTTGGCTTGGGCGCTCTCGAGCGGTTGAGATGCCGTCAACACCAGGATTGGTGTGGTAGCGATGCGGTAGAAGCATTGTGGCAAGTGATGGCGCCTATCGGGCGCAAGTTACGAGGACACAGACAACAGAGGCACATCAGAAGGGTGAGCGTCGACTCGCAGGGACTGGAAGGACCGTGACATGGTTGGGCTTGACGATTCGAGGATAAAAGACCACCGAACCGACGCCACTTTTGCTTAGGGGCAGCCTAGGCGGATTGTCCGCAAGAGAGGAGGAGGAGGAGCGTGTGCTCCTTTGGGTGCTTGTTGAGGCACTGACGAAACATTTTAGCCGGTGGAGGTGCCCGAGCCAAACTTGGAGGTTTGGGCGAGGAAGCAGAATAGTCACGGGCCTGACGCAGGCGAGGGAGGGAGGACTTGAAAAGAAATCATCAGCACGGAAGGTGATTTTATTAGTAAAGGGCACCTAGGTACCTGATCGTTTCTCCGTCACTGCAGGTGGAACAAAGTCACCCTCAATGTCGTAATGCCGCCAGTGACGGCGGTCAACAGAAGATTCGCCGAAGTCATTAGAACGGGGGATAACGTAAGTTTCGCGTGTTGTGGTAACGGGTTGCTCCAGGATGATGTTGTTATTCGACGGTTTAGCGAAGATTCTCCAGTAGTACAGCGTAAATACAGAAAAAGCACTGCAGTATCTCTATTGCTGGTAGTTGCAGTGTAGCAGTAAAGCCGAGCCTGAAGAAGTGTGCCAGTGAGTGCGCCGCCTGGAAAGTGAACCCTCCCGTCTCAAGCACGACACTGACACTACCTACACTACTACTGCGGCATTCACTACCACCACCACGACAGCTGCTCCCAAACTGCGCCGCACTCAAACCTTGCCATCAACCAACATCGCATCATCCGTTGTTGTTTCTCACTCTCGACTGCTCGCTGGCTGTACCAGATCTATCTTTCTTAGAGTTCAAACCCTCTGCCTCTTCGCCCACAGCCCTACGAGCCTGGCAACACGAATCATGATTGAGAACCTGCGTCTGTAAGAGGCGTCGACCTCGTCAGGTTTGGCGTTCCACATTTTCACGCACCTCGAGTCTCCTCCGCGACACGCACCACCTCAACTGCCACCACACGCTTTTCCGCCGTCGCAGCAGTTCTTCAACTCCTCCTCTGTCTTGCTCTGCAACGAATCCGACCTTCACACCACCTATCTCGCTGCCAAACCGCCACGAAAAGGAACCCCTGCACGCTCTCGCATGCGGCCGGCCTTCGGCGACGATCCACGTAGTTGGACCTCGTTCTCCACAATCAGGGTTTCTCTGGGGACAAAATGTCTACACCTTCGATAGCGACCACCACCATACCAGCACATCATTCACAATACGGTTATGGCCATCAGAATCCATATTCGCCGTCGACACGGACGTACCCCGCAACAAATGCAATGCCTGCACCGCAACGGTTGACCACTTCTTACCATTCCTATCCGGCTACCGCTCAATATCCCCAACCTCAGCAGTCCCCGGGCTCGTACAGACCGCCCTCCAACGTCTCGTCCATGGCTCCTTCTCAATCGGCCTCAACCCTCCCGGACAACCAACGACGACAGCCAAACTGGAATGAATTTTACAAGAACGGCATTCCGAAAGAGATTATTGTTATCGACGACGATTCCCCAGAACCTCAATCTGGAACCGACAACGCCAGACCCAATCCGCATCCCGAAACATCGGCATATCCATCGAACGCCGGTAGGAAGAGAAAAGTTGACCAAGGCTATGAAATCGAATACACAGATAGCCCGGCGTATTCCACACACCCGACAAAATTTGGTGCTTCGTCATCGTCGGCCTCTTATCATTCTGGGGATAGGACCACTTCTATTCAAACTGTGACGGCTCCCACATCGCTCGAGTCCTATGCCAGTAACCCTGCAAGCCACAGTTATGAAGATGTCAGAGTGGGCCAAAAACGAAAGAGGGTGCAACCGGCAAAGGAGACAAGAGCACAAGCCAAACGAAAACAACAGGAAACCGCGGATGCCTATGCAGACTATGTTCCGCCCTCCAAACCCTTGCGAAAGGCCGCGGATGTCCATGTCCCTGTGATTCGTGATGTAGGTTTACCAATGGCTATTCTTCTCTTCACTGGCTAACAAGCTTTAGACTCTGCACAAGCACCAAAAAGTGGACGATGACGACGGTCATTATATCGTCACACCGCACACTCCACTGACAGATAGATGTAAGGACTTCGGCGACAAATATTTTGGCTTGTGCTAACTTTGTACAGATGATATCGTCAGACTCCTTGGCCAGGGAACTTTTGGCAAAGTTGTCGAAGCCTACGACAAGAGAAAGAAGACGAAATGTGCTGTCAAAATCATCAGGTCTGTCCAGAAATATCGCGACGCATCTCGCATTGAATTGCGTGTTCTCTCCACGCTTGCTCTGAACGACAAAGACAACCGAAATAAGTGCATCCACCTGCGGGATTCATTTGATTTTCGGAACCACATTTGCATAGTGACGGACCTGCTTGGCCAAAGTGTTTTTGACTTCCTCAAAGGAAATGGTTTCGTGCCTTTCCCAAGTTCTCAAATCCAAAGCTTTGCCCGGCAGCTGTTCACTAGCGTGGCTTGTAAGTTGTTTTTTCCGTGAGTGTCGCGCCCTTATACTGACCACTTTCCAGTCCTTCACGACTTGAATCTGATTCACACTGATCTCAAGCCCGAGAATATCCTCTTGGTGCACAACGCCTATCAAACCTTTACTTACAACCGAACAATCCCATCATCATCTCACACGACGGCCAGGACGGCTCGACAAAGACGCGTCCTTCTTGATAGCGAAATCCGACTCATCGACTTTGGCTCTGCCACTTTCGACGACGAATATCACTCGTCAGTGGTCTCGACTAGGCATTACAGAGCCCCTGAGATCATACTGCAACTCGGATGGAGTTTTCCCTGCGATATTTGGAGCATAGGGTGCATTATTGTGGAATTCTTTACGGGAGATGCCCTCTTCCAGACGCACGACAACCTCGAACACCTGGCCATGATGGAAGCTGTCTGCAACGGGAAAATTGACGCAAAGCTGGTCAGGGCCGTTTGTTCCGGGGGACGCGGTGCCAACGCAAACCCTGCTGCCAAGTTTTTCAACCGCGGCAAGTTGGATTATCCCAACAGTGAAACGTCCAAGGCCTCGCGTAAGTACGTTAAGGCCATGAAACACCTCCATGTAAGTTTTTTGATCTATCTTCATTCTTTGCGTGGCACTGACTAAAGTCCAGGAATTCATTCCGGCCAACACATCTTTCAACCGGCAACTGCTCGACTTGTTGCGCAAGATCTTCGTGTACGACCCAAAGCAAAGAATAACAGCCAAAGAAGCATTGAAACATCCGTGGTTCAAGGAAACACTGGTGGATGATGGTACCGAGGCTATACGGATACGGGAGGAACGTGCCAACGCGACTGGTGTGGGACCGGATGCTAAGCGGCCACGGGTGTGATCGGATTACATGCAATTGCGAGGGCTCATACCAATATTCCGAACGACATTCACGATCATAGTACACGGCAACCGCTTCTTGCATCGCTGATAGCGAACTTCCTTCGAGCGACTTATGAGTGCAACGATTGATTTGGAACGGCTTGCCAGTCCTCCAAACGTAAGAGGCGTGTGCGCGCACGGTCCTTGGAAATATGACGAGGTACCACAATCATCTGTCCATTCTCCTGATGGCAGATGGTTTGTGGAGGATAAGGATAGTGGTTACGATGAAGGCTCGCTCTAAGGGTTCCGAGGTAAACGGGTATGAACGATTCGAAGTGGGCGGCGCTGCGTCAGGACAGGGTGTTGATCACTCCCACGGCCCAGAGTCGGTGTTGAAGTCCTGACTGCAACCAGCATGCTCGCAACTCCGTCTGGACAAGTCTACCGTGGGGCTCCGCTGAGGAAGAGCCAAAGAAGAGGCTGGAAGGGGTCGTACTACTTTTACCATTAGTCGAAAACACAGACACAGAAGTATGGAGCATAGAATCGAACATGATCCAGTATTTTTTTTTTTGGGATCTGTCTCCATTCTGCGCTAGTCACTCTGCGCGTCGTTGTTTGCGCCAAATGTGCTTGCAGGGCTACTGTTGCTGCTGCAACCGGCTCATCAGGGACATCCATTTCCCCGTGTTAAGGGCCCTCCGCCCGTAGTCATTGGTACTGAACATGCCAGAGGCATCACTAATTCCTACAACGGGAATCGAATGTCTCCATGGCCACTATTTCCGAAGTAGAATTCAGACCCTGATATTCCATCGATCGGGTCGATCGACCCTGCCAGTGGTTTTACCATTGGACTAGGATAAAGATAAAGCTTCGCCTAATGAACCCTCTGTACAATACAAGCCCTGGCAAAAAGAGGCATTCTCTTACCATGGTTTGATTGCCACGTAATATGGTGACTTTTGTAAGAGTAGGTCTCAATCCGGCCATGAGGATACAGGAGATTCGAAGGTACTGTGGGTAGGTAGGTAAAAGAGAAATTAACGGGACCAGCGTCAACCAAGCCAGCCAGCCAGTCAAAGGGATAGCACTAGTGGGACCATATTTGTCTTTTTGGTCGTGTAGGGAGTCGTAGGTATGGACTCGATGGCGAATGGCGCATGGGATGACGATGAAGATGGGTAGTAGTGTCCTTGGGTATATCCTTGATGATGAGGATGGGGGTAGTTTTCCCCCTCGATTCGAGAATCAGTTGGATCGATTGTACTGCTGGAGTTGGACTGGAGGCGCAGTCGCAGGCTGTAGGTCGTTCATACTCGTGTCGGCGCTGGTGCCTGGTCCAGGAAATTGCCGTGTCAACCTCGAGGACGCTGGCTCTGGTAGTGATGCCGATAAGATCAGATGGCAGCAGGCTTGACGGGCCAACTTTGTCGCGATTAAGTTCAGGAGCTCACTCTGCCGTCAGCAGGTTTGTTCTCTTCTTCTTCTGCTGAACTGGCCGCCCTAAGTGTCGACATGACTTCAGCTCATTGATCCTTCTTCCTGAACCTTCGTCAACTGGTGTGGTGTCGTGGAGTTGGGTCCAGTCAAAGCCCAATCGGTTCTGCCAGTGAGAGCATCACGAATTGCCGTCTTTGTGTCCATATCCTTGACCTATTTCCTGCTTTGCATGACTTTGGCTCCATGTTTTCTGATGACTTCTTCCATTGTTCTGCGGACCTGCTTGCACCCATCGACGCCCGTGACCATCATGCTCTCCAGTTTGCTATTTGGACCACCGATCTGGCAACGCGATTCCATCATCAGGACCGAGACTTTGTCTTCCGCGCCAGGAGGTTGGCCCGTGACCGTTGCGATGGACAGAAACGGCAATTCTTGCTCTTCGGCAGTGTTGAGATCGAGAATGGGCTCTGGTCGCACCGACGAGTCGTCCGCAGGAGTGACACTTCCACTAGAGATGGCTGCTAGGATCGAGGGCATGGGGATACCAGCGTCCACAAGCGCCAGACTCGCCGCATTCAGACACGCCGCCAGCAGCGCCCCGTCCAAACTAAGCACATGGAGCGATATCGATATGGTCGACCGAGGATAGAGATGTGTGAAAAGATGGCTCTGGAAGGCGCTGGAGACTGTGCTTTGCAGCTCTTGGATGCGCTTGTCGTTTTTTATGCGTCGGCGACGGTCCATCTGCGCAAACGGTGCCACATTGATTTCGGTCTCGACCGTGGCATTCGTATTGTCTCGTTGACCACGGCTGATGCTGCAGTTAGCAAGGGAACTCAAAGCAGTGGTTGGGTCAGTCCCTGGAAGAGCAACCCATCTCGTTAGCCGTATACATACCCCTCTCTTGGACCAGTCACTGTGCATAGGACCATGGTGTTGCCCATCGTGAGCAGACTGCTACCATCGCTGGAGGGCTGTGTCGAGATCGAAGCAGTGATGCGCCGCAGTTCGTTCCATCTTCGGCCATCTTGTCGAAGAAGCGTTTGCGCATACGTCGATATAGTGTCGAGAGGCATTTTGGACAAGATCGAGTGCCCGAGAAGCACGTACAGAACCTGGATTAGCGAGTCATCAGGCGTCAAGTCAGTGGAGATGTAGATTCCAAAGTAATCTTCAATGGTGAAGTGAGGGCAGTTCAATGGATTTTGTTCCCGTGCTCGGGCGGAATTTTCGTGTTACAATTAATTAGACGCGGCTGCGTCACTTCGCGACCAAATATTTGCCCCGCGGTTATTAGAGGCGCGATTCCGCAGCCATCATCAACAATACACTCCAACGTGTGTGTACGTCGCCGACCAACCTTCTCATCCCGGTGGATTGTGATCGCGGCCGGTGCACCTCGCTGGCAAGGCTGTCACTATGGTGTTCACCGACAGCGAGGAAGATGATCTGGATCAGCCGCGGATCAAACTGGAAAGCCACAATCCATCGAAGATCGTATCGAGTCCGACAGATAGAAGAACGGCAGACAAGACTGAGATAATCTCTGCGACCGCAACTGAGGCAGAAGATACGGATGCGTCGATCACAGTGCTAAGTACCGCCTCAAACTCGAAGAAGCGGCGCAGCCCTCCCGCGACCGCCTCCCATCGCGTAGAGTTGGATACCGACGACGAACTGAACTATGCATGGGAGGAAGATCAAAAAGCCAAGCAGAAGGCAGCGGAGGCGAAAAAGCGTGCTATGAAATCTGCCCGCAAGATCAGGGCCATTGCGAGGGAACATGATGCTCCGTCCAAGGCGCGGACAGGCGGTACCAGCACCGGCGTTGGACGACAGGCACCGAGAAAGCGGAGGAAGGTCAGAGAGTACGGCGAATCGGATCCGGACGAGGACCTCATGGAGTGGACGACCCCAGACTATGTTCAGGCTCGAAGGAAACGGTTCGATGAGCGTGCCCAAAAGTTGAAGGCTGGTGGTTTACAATTGCCGCCTAATTATGATGAGGTCTTCTTCTCGGACGACGAACACCTGCAAGATTTGGAAGAACGCCCGAATTTCTCAGACGAAAGCGCAGTTAGGGAGAAGAAGGACATCGAGTTGCCATATTCGCTCGGCTTGATCCCTGCTTCCATTGCGCGGTTTCTCCGAGATTACCAGGTTAAGGGCGTGGCCTTCCTACACGAACTGTTCGTGTATCAGAAAGGAGGCATCCTCGGAGACGACATGGGCTTGGGCAAGACTGTTCAGGTGGTGGCATTCCTCACGGCGGCATACGGCAAGACCGGCGACGAGCGCGACAGCAAGAGAATGAGGAAAATGCGACGTGCAAACCGGGAATACCCACGCACTCTGATCATTTGCCCCGGAACTTTGATGAATAACTGGAGGGATGAACTTGAGCGTTGGGGCTGGTGGCAGGTGGACATCTATCATGGAAATGCATCCAGTCGACATGAGGTCTTTCTCACAGCTCAGGCAGGGATGCTAGAAGTCATGATTACAACATACCATACTTACCGAGCCAACCGCAGTGAGATCAACATGGTCAAATGGGATTGTGTGGTTGCGGACGAATGCCACCAAATCAAAGATCGCAACTCTGGCATCACAAAAGCCATGAATGAAGTCAATGCTCTCTGTCGCATAGGGCTGACGGGGACGGCCATCCAGAACAAGTATGAAGAGCTGTGGACGCTCCTCAACTGGACCAATCCCGGCCGGTTTGGTCCCGTGTCGACCTGGAAAACCACGATATGTGAGCCACTCAAGCTCGGCCAGAGCCATGACGCATCGAACTATCAACTCGCGAGAGCCCGGAAAACGGCAAAGATGCTGGTCAACAACCTTTTGCCCCAGTTCTTTCTGCGGCGCACGAAGGCCCTGATCAAGGATCAGCTGCCGAAAAAGACGGACCGTGTGGTCTTTTGTCCACTGACGCCCACTCAGGCCGAAGCCTACCAGAATTTCCTGGAGAGTGATGTCGTGCAGTATATCAAGACTAGCAGCCAGTTATGTGAGTGTGGGAGCGGGAAGAAAGCAGGCTGGTGCTGTCGCATGGAGCTGCCTGACGGAACCAGATGGCAGAACTGGGTGTTGCCTGCAATGCACGTACTCCGGCACATATCGAACCACTTGGCCGTGCTGATTCCACAAGGAGCCGACCCGTCAGATAAGCAGGCGAAGGATCTGGAACTGCTTCAGATCGCTCTACCCGACCAATGGCAAACCATCTATAGAACCAGAGACAGCATCTTGCACACGGGCAATCCCGAATTCTGTGGCAAGTGGCGTGTGTTACAGAGACTACTGAGTTTTTGGCACGATCAAGGTGACAACAAGGTCCTCATATTCTCCCACAGTGTCCGACTACTCAAGATGCTTCGCGATTTGTTCATCAGTACAAAGTTCAACGTGAATTACTTGGACGGGAGCATGCATTACGAAGACCGGTATGCGGCTGTGCGGGATTTCAATACCGACCCTACGCAGTTTGTGTTTCTCATCAGCACTCGAGCCGGTGGAGTTGGTCTCAATATCACGTCAGCCAACAAGGTGGTGGTGGTCGATCCGCACTGGAACCCGGCGTACGATCTACAAGCACAAGATCGAGCTTACCGAATCGGCCAGACCCGAGACGTGGAAGTGTTTCGACTGATCAGTCAGGGCACTCTGGAAGAGATTGTCTACGCTCGGCAAATCTATAAACAGCAACAAGCCAACATTGGATACACTGCCACATCGGAACGGCGGTATTTCCAGGGCGTCCAAGACCGTAAAGACCAAAAGGGCGAAATCTTTGGGATTCAGAATCTCTTCGCTTTTCAAGGCGAGAACCAGGTGCTGCGCGACATTGTAAACAAGACCAACATAGCCGAATCGAAGGCCGGCGTCAGGGTTGCAGATCTAAATTTGGGCGAGCACGACTTTGATCCCGAGGACACCACAGGTGCAGGGGCAGCAGCAGCAACAGTCAAGGCAGAAGACACCGCTGCCACCACACGCAGCCTTATCAAGACCGAAGACGACGAGGCCATGTCGCAGCTCGCAGCAGAGATTATAGGAGAAGCTCCTCGACCACGACCATCAAAGACAACACCATTTGCTCCCCCTGGAAAACCTCAAGTTGTGAGGAAATCCGATCCGATTCAAGCCATTTTGTCCTCTGTCGGGGTTTCATATACCCACGAAAACAGCGAGGTCATCGGCTCATCCAAGGTCGAAGCATTACTTTCCAAACGAGCCGAAGAGGCCGCCAGCACAAAGGCACACTGGGGTACGCAGGAACAACAGTCCAAGGTCTTTGAGGACGAATCACAGCTTGTGGAGGGCGGCTACGTATATGGCCATGGCGGGCGAGAGGGAGTCAGTGCGGGTGACAGCAGCAGCTTTGGAAGTGGAAAGGGCATCACGACTCCCAATGGTGGTAGTGTGATACGCTACAAGTATCGCCCGCCGCAGGATGTCATGAAACGCCAGCTCTGCAGCATGGCTCGGTGGGCCGGCTATAGTGACGATGTGGTGTCGTTTGCCCTGGTTGTGGAAAATTGGACCCAAGCCGAGCGGAGAGAGTGTTTGGATCGGTTTTATCATTATCGACGGGATGTTCTGGATGGACTGGTCGAGAATGAGGATGTGAAAACGGAAGCGAAAGTGAAGGCGGAAATAAAGTCTGAAGAACGTGAACGCGAACACGAGAAACGAGAGACAAAAGTGGAGGGAGAGGTTTCGTCAATCCATGGGGTCAAACTCGAGCCGAAATACTCCAACCTGAATGAACATGTTCCTCCGGTGAACAAGTTTGCTTCAGCACAAGCACTGGCACCCGTGGATCCAGTGAAGAAGGAAGAGGCTGACACTAACAACCTTTTCGCAAAGCCTGCTCCTGATGCTCCTGCACCTTTGGCCACTCCTGTTGTCAAGACCGAGCCGTCAACCGGGGGTATCGTCGATCTTGACGACGTCGACGTCGTGACGGCCTCGGAGGATGAAGACGACGAACTCTGAGAGCGCTCTCTGTCTGGGTCTATCTATGCTTTGGTTGTGGCCCGGCGCGTCTGCGTGTCGGGTCACTCTGGTTGGTGTTCCTGCGTTCTGTTTCCTCTGGTGGTTACCGGAGCAGCCTGGTTTGGCTTCCATCAGAATGGGGTTATGGGACGGCATGGGCGGCGAAATGATTTATTACTGATGAGGTTACGAAGTTTATGATTCTGCCGGTGCGACGACTGGTCCGTGATACCCCTTGTTATTAAATAGCTAGGTACCTACCTACATATGATGTTTAGGTATTGGTTTTCCTGTCCTTGGATTTGCAGGTATAAGGTAGGTACATAAAGAGTTTCCAAGATACTGTAGAATACCTGGTTCCTCGTTTATTATTGGGGTATACCTTATACGATAGGGATACACGAGAAGCTATGCTTTTACTTTGTGTTTCCAAGTTTCCCAATATTCGTTTCGTTTTCTCGTAGATATCATGACCCAATTTACTGTCATTGATTCCCTTACATACTGAACTCCCAACCACGCCCCGCGCATGTTGCTGTAGATGTACGACCGCCTTCACCATTGTTCTTCACGGCTTGAATATCATTCACAGCCTGAACAAACGCCCCGGCGCCGCAGGAGGAGCACAAGTCCCTCCAATATCCAAAACCCAGGCAGCCGAGTTGAACTCGCTGTACAGCGTCTCCAACTGATACCCGTTCGGACCGACGGTATTGGCATTAGATCCAGACTTGACGGTATACAGCACGGAGATACCCTTGACAGGGTCGACGTTGAGCCCCACGGTGGCAACCCATCGAAACACAATGACTCCCTGACACGTCACGGCGTCGATGTTGAGAATGTCTATACCAATGGGAGGCTGGGCGCCCTGGCCGGCAATGTATGCTGCTGGAGATGGAAATGTCACGGATCCCAAGGGGATGCCGGCCAGGAAATTGATCGAGTCCGAGGTGTCGGTGAAGTCTGGAGCTAGAAGGTTGGTGGCCACGTCGGCGTTGAAGGCGGTCAATGTGGAAACGAAGGCGTTGACGACTTGGACAGCAGTGTCGTAGGGAATGCATTGTCCACTGTTGCCATTGCCATTGCCGTTGCCGTTGCCGTTGTTATCGTTGCCATGTTGTGAGGAGGGCAGAGCGGTGGCCATACTGGCCAAGGCGATGGCCGTGGCGGAGAAGAGGTTGGAGAAACGCATTGTCGTAGATTTGCAAAGTGTAAAGTAGAATCGAGGGGGGCTTTTTGTATTCTGACTTGCTCGAAGGCGTAGGTAGCAAGATGTTTGATTTCACAACGAGAGACTATGACAACTAAGAGATAAGTAATGGGGGATAGCCGCAAGGACTGATGGCTTTCTGCTCGAGGGAGGAGTGCAGTACTTGGATCAGATCGAGAGGGAAGAGGATGCAAAGTCTGCTTTATAACGAATGATCGTGCTGCTCTTCTGGTTGTGTGGAAGGGCGAAAGACGGGGTCGGTTATTTTGGCGAGCCAGCTTCTGCCTGCCTACCTACCTACCTTTGGGTCCGTATACGAACGGCTGAACATTGTGGGTTGCTGAAAGCTTGCATGCTGTCTGCATGGAGGGCGGTTTTTGTAGCATCTGAGCTGACAGGCGTTTTGTCTAGTCCTTCCCGGTCACACCATCTTCTGCCACATATTGCCCGTTGGGGTCAGCAAGATGAAGGAACCCAACAGCCACCGGCCCTGGCGCTAACATCTGAGTGGTAGGAAACATGTCCGTTCAAGCAAGTCAAGAAAATGTTGCAAAGCATGCGCGGAGGTGTGTATACCTAGCTCGTTAGCGAAGGAGGGGAACAGATGCCTCCGTCAAACTTCAGTCCGGGTTTGAGGAGTCTGCCTCTATTCCTGGATATCAACTGGCTTGCCATTGGGCACCCTGTTTGTGTGTTGCTCTCCATTGGTCAACATCTGTTCTGGCAGCTGCCATTGAAAACGTAGCTAGGTCCGAAGGTAGGTAGACATCGCAGAAGCAGAAGAAAGTGGCTTGCGGCCGGCGGTAGTTCTTTGAAGAGCTAATCAGGGCAGATGTATATCAGCTCAGTTGAGGAGCCCGCACACGGACTTGCTGCTGTGTCCGTGGAGACTCCATCGGGTATAGGAAGCTGAAAGGTTAGTGGTGGTGGTCAGCTTGAATGTCTCACAACTGAGTCTGGGCACATGCACCTTTCATGCGCAAGAATGGCCGACTCCTTAGGTACTGTCCACCTTGAAACCACAGTAGCTGTGATAGAGAGATACGTCACAGCGGCAGATGTAAGCAGCGGGATGTTCCCGGAATGCCGCCAGGGGTAAGCAGCATGTACATACTGTAGTTGTACTGTGGCCCTGTCGAGGTTGAGAGGAAACCTGGAGACGCGGAGACGACGCAGCTGGAAATCTCGCGGTCTGGGGACTCGGAACTTGAAGCCATCCTCAGCTGCAGGGCTAGTCCCGAACAAGCAACGAGGATTAATACGGAGGATCATATACCGGAGAGTAGCAGTGTTGCTTGATTCACCGTATTGCGCCATTCTCGCTTACCAGACCCTCACTCGACTCGTTGCTGCTGATGTTGTTGACCCTTGTCCACATAGGAGTAGAAGCAGTATTCAGCAGGTACCGGACACGCCTTTCCAGGTATCGATGATAGTATACAGTTAGGACCCGTTGAAAAGCATCTCAAGCGCCTCCGTCGCCCATGCTGCCACTAACGCATGAGCCAGCCGATACCGCGTGTGCCACGTCCGTTACGGACTGCCTAGGACCTGCCACCTGAATGCCCTCCAGGCACCACTGAATGTGAATATTACAGAGCCAAGTAACACTAACCGGCGTTGCAATGCAGCGGACATGATGCGGACGGCACGGGCAAGAAATCCTGGATCCTTCGTGCCATAGAGCCGATGCGCCCAAACTGGCCAACCTTCTAGAGACAACCTCCATCCCCGCAAACTCATCCGGAATGGACACTTACAGGACGACTAGACTTCTTGAGGACCGACCAGGAGTAGACGGGCCCAGTTGGGCTCCTCGAGCCTGTCCAGTCGTGGGCACGCTGACCCGAAGTCGGAATCTGATCAACTCGATGCCAGATGGATGGGAACCTTGTGGCCAGTAGTAGACCTCGCCGGAGGACGAAAAGCTGTGTGCCGCCTCTTCATCTCGATCAGCGTATAGTCGATTCTAGTATTTCACAGCTCTATTTCAAGCTCTGGACTGCGATTGTGCGTTCTCTTCCCCCGGAGTTACTAGTCGTACACTTTTACGAGACCCGCTGAAGCCCGACTGCATGCTTGGCTTGTTACGACCATTGCCACGCTTACCGGGCATGCTGCGCTCATCGCCACTTTGGGTTGCACGATCTGTGCTTATACTGTTGCGTAACGCTACCCGCGCCTTGTCGACCGCTGGACTGGGCGTCGCTCGAAGAGGATCTCGCTTGGCTGAGCCGCTCCCGACGTTGCTCCCGCGGATGAGTTTGGCTTCCTCCTCTCGTTTTGCTTGTTTTTGGATACGATAGACCCGGGTCAAGCCCGGTAGGCAGTCACACCCACAGCCTTGGCTTGGACATGTCCCTTCGCTGGAAGGATGAGCAAACCATTCCGTTAGGCATTGAACATGGCCGGAATGGCCACATGCTTGACAGAACATCCACATGGCCGCACTGTGGCCCCAGCCCTGTCTTTCACTGTTGCAATATGACTTGATAGATTCGCAGATTGGACACACAAACCGAAGTTTCTGGCAGGTCTCGCACACATTCGTCCCAGGTTGCATCACCCTTTGGCAGTTTGTGCAAGCCACAGAGAGACTCATCGCGTCTCCATTGGTGAGACTGCCACTGTTTTGCTTGCTGGGTGTCGAAGAGATATAGAGCCGAGGGTAATCGAGCTCGACACACATTTTCCAGATAATAGCAGCCGACTCAAAATATCCCATCCTTTTCAGAAATGATAGATGATCTTCGATGATGCTTTCGATGATGCGATGGCCCAGATGAGGCGTCATCAGTCGGTCAGCGAGAGACTCTCCTCCTCCGGATTCAGTTCGCTCGAGCTTGCGGAAGCTAGGATGGAAAAAGTATGCATAGACATGGAGGAGTAGATGGGTCGCGAATTGCGCGTGGCCAATCCCGTTCGCGATGTCAAAAGCAATACTTTGACATATCAGAGGCAACGCGGACCAGGCAAATGGTAATTTCGGCTCATAACTCGCCAAGTCGATGGGGCGAAAGTCTTGGAACAGGTATGTTTCCTGGTCGAGTTCTTCCATAGACATGGAAGCTGTGGGCTCATCCGTAATCCGACTATCAAGGCCGTGCATTGGTCCATCCCTTTGGAGTCGAATTGGATTGGACGTATGGATCTGTGGCTTTGAAAGCGATGCTCCTCCTTCGAAATGGAAAATGTCGGGCGATGTTGATACTCTCGTCTCGATTTGTGAACTGGTAACTGATTCAAGAACGTTCTCGGCATTCCACATCGTCTTGTCCACCGATGGCGGAGCTGAGTGTCCAGATTCCACAGAATGGCCGGGAACCTCGTGTCCAAGCCTCGTGTCTGGTTGCGTGTCCACAGCAGCTAATCCATTCTTCGACTTTTGGGCAACCGAAGCCGAGTGCGGCGCTACAGTCTGCAATGGTTGAGTGTCCTCCTGTAAGGGAGCCTCTTCCCTTTCAGTGCCTTGTCCATCGTCAGAATCATGCCCGTCTTCTCGATGGCGCATTCCGTCATCAACATGAGACGACCCAAATGACTGTCCTAGGGACCGAGCCCTGTGGGAGCTGTCAGTTGACGCAGAAAACATAGGGAAGCTCTCATCCGAGTCTTGTCTGTCCTTATTGTCGGGCCTATAGGTGGCATCGTCCAGCGTGAAGATCGGCCGAGCTTGGACGCGATAGTCTCGCAGCGCCGCCCTCCGATCCTCCTGCTTTTGAGGCTCCGGGGTCGCCACTGGAAAGTCGGCACCTGGACGTCTTGCAGCGTGTACTGGTGAATTCCTGGCTGTCTCACGGCTGCTCGTCGACTGACTTGCATTGGAACGCACTGGCCTGAGCATTTCTGGAGAAGAGGAGTTTGATCGCGGCCCATGCTCCCGGGCATCGGCCAGGGCGCGGGCCGCTGCAGCTGCAGTAGAATGTGAGGACAGTATGGAGGGAGGAAGGGGTGCAATATTGTCGATGGTATCGTCACTACTCGAAGTGCTCCATCTCGTGTGATGCCCAGGAGGAGAATTGGGCAGTGGTTTGGCACGTGGCGTGGTCACATTTGACGTGCTGCCTACTTCTGACCCATGATGCCCACGCTCAGCCTGGACCATCCCCTTCAAAAGACTGCTCTTCAGATTCGGCGTCCGCCCTTCGCTCTTAGTATTGAACCCACGATGCGGGAGTCCAGCTAGAGGAGAAACAGCGTGGCGGTGGGCCCCTGATCGAAAATTCTCCAGAGTCTCCCTTCTTCGAGCGGCATCAGCCCTTCGCTTTGCCCTATTTGCATCCGCCCAGTCCTTGACTTCGGGAACCACAACTGCCCCTAGGATCCGCCAAGATTGAGCCATGCGGTGCATGGATACAGCGTCACATGCTGCAGCGTTCTGGTTGAATGCAGCCTCAAGACGTTCGAGGATGGTGTTGGGCGAACGCCTCCGCTCATCCATCGATGCCGGCTTTGCATAGTGTGATGCTAGAAATTCAACGACTCCTGCGTCGGCAGCAACTCCGGGAATGTAGCCGACTACGCCGACCTGTTCGTTATTGAAAAGATCGCCACGATCCAAGACAGCCTTGTCCAGTGGAAGAACAGGCGTTTTTTCGTCAACCGAAGGCGGACTGCTGGCCTGGGACTTGACAGACCTGGAGGAAAGAATGCCCCTGCCCCGCCGGCGAGAGCTGGCTTGCCCTGAAGTCTCAATGCTGCCCTCATCGTCGGTCAAGCTCCGACTGATCGCGCCATCGTCACCACCGCTAAGCTTGTTTGGTGGAACGGCCAAAAAGCCCATCACAGGGTCGTCCAAGGAGGGTCTTTGCTGAAGGTCTCTATCCTCGCAAAACATGTAGTAATGGCCGTCTGGGGTGAATTCCGAGACCGATGGGGAAAGCTGTGTATAGAAAGGTGTAGTATGCTTCAGGTCCCATTGGGTAAAGATTCCTTCGTCACCAACGGTCCATAACATGTCCTGGTTGGCCCAAAGCATATCATTGGGTGGCATGTTATACTTGTCCAACTCTCGGAAGGGCAACAAGGGCCTTCGAAGGTCCCAGACATGGATTCTGGGGTCATCGTGATAGTAGGAAACAGCAACTTGGGTGCTCTGCCAATGGGCAGCCTCCGGATTTGGAGACACCTTACAGGGAGGTCGCCACCTAATATTCCTTATTGCATGAGGCGCCTTGAGCTGTAGTACAGGCTTCTGGCGTCGATTGTCGCTCTGGAAGTCCCACACCCGGATATACTTGTCAAACCCGCCAGATATCACGTGTCGACCGTCGGGGTGCCAGTCCAGGGAATAGCATGCCTTCTCGTGCCCACTGATGCTCAGGATCGGCCGAGAAGGAGAGCGGGCGTCCCATTTCTGGATCAGTCCACCATCTGCACAAATGGCAAAGTCGAGCGGTTCTAGGGCGGATGGTGACCAGCGAACATCGCGAACAGCACTTCGAATATCAAATCGACGAAAAGCCTTGTCGGGTTTGACGCGCAGATCCCAAAGCCTCACCGACTTGTCCTGACTGGCCGACAGCAATAAATATCCAGCTGAAGGATCAAAGTCCAGCTTGTTGATTTGACCTGTGTGTTCATGGAGCCAAGCAAATTCGGTCTTGAGACCTGAAGCCTTCAAGTCGTACAGGGCAATGCGACCATTTGTAGCTGCAGTGGCAATGATATGGTCCCAATTGCCTGTGGACCACCTCACGTCTCTGGCCGGTAAATATTCCCTGCGCTTGCCTGCATCGCCCACCTGGCTGTGCGTCGAGGCATAGGAACTGATGGCGGCACGGAGATTGAGGTCTTCGGTCACCTTTCCATCATGGACATGCACTGTCTTGAGAATATCTTTGCCGGCCAGGATGGCATGGGTTCCGGCCTGATTGATGTCCAGAGCAGAAATGGGAATGCCGGTGCGGTGGGTCGCTGTGGGAGAGGGCAGGGAGCTGGATTCCGCTTGTTAGGAAAGGCCACCACCAGCAAGCAGATTGGTTCTCATACCTGTACGTGTGTATGGCCGTGATCTGCCGGAGCGCGTGTTCACGGTCGCCTTGGGATGGGCCGCCATGAGACTTCGAGCCAATGTGCCTTCCCCACGGTGCAATGATTCTCTGCAATTGGCCCAGCCGACTAGGTGGAAGAGGCGGCGCTGGAGGAGGAAGGAGATTCTGAGTCTCCTCTGGGGCAGGGTCTATCATGGCTCTTTGTAGCAGTCTTCATCAATGGCTCACATGCCGGATGTCATTCGCGAGCAGGCTAAGGCACGAGGTAGGATCCATAAGGACATGGCCTGCGGGAAAGGTCTCACCAGTGTGGACGGCGAGCAACGGCAGACGCGACGTGCAGCATGCTTGCTGCACGCTGGCTGCAGAGTGCAAATGTCGAAGAGACGGTCAGGAGATGGATACCTGATAGCGATGAAGCGACCAAAGGGCGCAGAGGCGAGGCGAGGAAGAGGTAGAGTGGTTGTAGGGCTGCGTGCGACCAGAAAACCAGTCCGTGTTCGATTGGATGAAGTATACCTAGTACTATGGCCAAATTCCCGGGGTCGCTAGTCGTACTAAGTAGTAGCACTGTAATTGACGGCCCGCACTGGCACTGGCCGTACTATATGTAGGTACTACTACCAAGCTGCAGCGGATGAGTTGTGTGTGCACAGCGGTGTCTGCCCAGCGACATCGCTAAGGTGCTGACTATCTGGTACTGCCACTGCTGCAGCCACGGTGATTATGACATAGCTGCAGTACAGCTGTGCAGCTGATACTCTACTCCTGATTGAATCGAACTGAGGGATGTCGACCTGACCTAGTTGCCTCCTTGTGCCGCCTATACCCAACCGTCTCGTTGGGCGAGGCGATATACCCTTTGAGCAAACCCAGGGGAACTGTAACCGCCAGAGAAATAGATATCCATACCACACCTCTGCCGGTGCATGAGTACAGTACCTCTAATAATAAGGCAGCTGCCTACTGTTCTCTTCGAGAGACTCTAAAAGTGACAACCTCGCTAGGCGTCTCCAGTGATTCGTTAGCGACCCATGCAGTGCTGGCCGCCTCGCCCTGGGATGTGTTGGCGACGTCAAGACTCGAGAAGTAGATGATACCTAGGTAGGTAGGTATCTACCTTAGGTACCTACAACGTTGTAGGTATGCTCCTGTGAAGTGGTATACTACAGTGTAATATTCAGGCTGTGCCTACCTGCGCTAGGTGCCTATTGGTATCTGTTTAGTGGCCGGGCCAGCTACCAGGTATACCTTGTTTTATGACCCCTGTCGGCTGCTTCGCACCCAATTCCGCAATGGCGCTGCCGTAGGAAATATTCGTTATGGCCAGCATCAAACTACTGCAGCCTTCGCGGCTGTCTACAGGGAAGCTCGCATACTACGGATACAACGTGCCTGGCCCCCGGACGAGTCGTCGATTTTCGGGCATGAGAGCGTTGTGCTACTGCCATCTTCTTGACCTGCACTGGCATCACCACTGCATACCATGAGTATTCTGAATGGATTACAATGGATAGTAGTACTGAATGCCGCATCATCTATGTCCCCGGCGGCGGTGAGCAGCCTGCGCTGTCTTCTCGTTTTCGCTGAACTCGCTCGCTCCTCTGGTTCATCTGCCAATCCGACAACCTCGCAGGTATCCTCCGAGTCCTTCTATCCGTAGAAATCTACCTCTGTCGCGGTTCAGTTAGTTGCTAGCAGACAGCAGTCTACGGTCTTGCCTGTTAAGATAACCGACGATTGACGGATCCTTCGTAACGATGACCAAACCAGATATAACTCTCAGTCACGCCCGCTTCAAACAGAGAAACCTCCCTCCTTCTCTCCATCTTCCCCTTCAAAGACCGTAACTGCCCGGTTGACTGACATTCAAGTTTGTCACTGCCCTTGGCTGACACGGAAGAGATCTGATCAAACATATATTGAGGTATTCCTAGCAACCGACCGTTGCTTGCTCCTCCCATACGTATTGATTGATGTCTTTTCCTCTCAAATACAATCTACTACTACTATCACAAACCATTTCACATCTATCAGAAGATCAAGCATCTGACTCTGGTGTATGCGGGTTGCACACCCCACAGCGGTAGCAGGACACTGTCATTAGCGCAGCAGAGAGACGGCCATAACGAACCGAACGAGAGGAAGACTGTTGTTGTGCATGTGCTACTAGTAGGGAGCCCCCCCCCCCCAAGCCCTGTCAATCAGGCGCTCCCGCCAACTGCGTTCCCACCAACGGCGCAGCCCAAGAGCCCAGGAGACTCTGAGTCCCAGGCTTCTTCAGGCTCTCGGGTCCCCCAAAACGCCTCGCCGCTCCTCCCCCACTGCCACTGCCGCACTGTCACACGGGCGCACACACGCTACGCAAAAGCTATACTGACACCATCCATCTTCCAGCCCGATCGAGACTCAGCCCGATAACCCATTCGACCATCCACAATCTTCAGCGGCGTTTGTCACGCGACAAGCGCGATCGGGGCCTTCAGAATCGGCCAGGCGAACCCGACTACTCCTGTCCCTACCTATTAGCACGCGGCCCTAGCACAAGGCCTGAACAAACCGAACCATTCGAGCCACCGCGCGAGCCAACGAGCCTGCGGTTTCCCACCTGAAGCTGGACCCTATCGCCCTCGAAGCCTCTGAAGTTGAAGGATAATATTGCCATCGCCCTCCAACCCCGGCACCGCCACCAGCAGGCCTCCTCCTCACACGTCGTCATTTATCACATACACTCCAAGTTTACTTTTTACACTTCACCCATCAGCTGTCCGTTCGACACCACAGTCGCTATTTCATTCCTCAGTTCTTTCTCTTTCTTTCCGGTCGTACTAGTTCGATCTGTCGCTCGCTCGCTTTCAGCCCTCAACCCAGACATCGCCTAGCCACAGTCCACCACTGGCGCGATCTGCAATCTTCCACCAACCGAGGCAGCACAGGCGAACCGTCTGTCCCGCCTGCCTACATTCACCAGGAGGAACACAACATCCAGCTGCACTGTCATCGGTCCCTGATTTGAATAACGCGATCCTGCTTGACTTAATAACCGATTTTCTCGTTGCTGGGCGGCTTTCTCTTTTTGTTTCTACTTGCTGCAAGGTTCGGCTGGTGGCGAGGTCTGAAAGACCATGCATGGGGAACCAGATCTGGGTGCCATTCAAGCCTCTCTCCGGGTTTTGAATGTTGCAAGATTGGCATACCCTGCGATCGTTCTGGTTATTTTTGTTGCTGCATTTATCACGTATGGCATTAAGACCGCCCCTAATGATGGAGACAAGGTTCAGATTCATCCCATGCGCGGTCCTGGAGGGAGACCTCTTCCAATCCGTCGTCGATCTGCCAATCAGGTCAAAACAGCTGCCGCCGTCAAAGATGTCTCGCCAACGACCAAAACCGCGTTCAGAATCGGCCAAGCTTCTGTGATCCTGACTTTCTTGGTCAATGCCGGTCTCATACTGTTCCAGACGGTGTTGAACCGTGACGAGGAGTGGTGGCCTGGCCAAAATGCCGTTATTTACGTTGTCGCGTCCACCTTTGTTTGGTTAGTGGTCTTCATCTCCGTAATGGATTGCAAGCCCTCGCCGAACATAGTCCATTTCGTTACTTGGATATCCGCTGTTCCTTTGGACACCATCATTATCGCGGCAAGTCTCCGAATCTACACAGTACCGCATTACGAACCACGAGTTGGCGACCAGCTCGGTGGTAGATTGAGGAGATCAATCACTGGTTGGGAGACTCTCGAAGTCATTGTGAACATATCCCGGCTTGTTCTGCTCTTGGGCCTCTCAGCTGCGTTTATGTCCGTCAAATATAACTTTAATAAGGCGGAAGGATCCCGATCTCCTGGGCAAAATGAAAGGACCCCTCTACTGGATGGCAACGTCGAAGCCGGAAGACAACCCAACGGTCAGGCTAATGGCACTGCTCAACGTGGCCAGACAACCGAGTCGAAGGAGCAAGTTGATGCATGGGCCAAGCCAACTGAGGTGCCGAATATATCCTGGTATGCGTACTTGCGAGGCTTCGTGCTGTTGATCCCGTACTTGTGGCCCAAGAAATCCATCAAACTGCAGCTGCTGGCGGGAACGTGCTTTCTCATCATGATTGCACAGCGCGTGATCAACGTGTTTGTGCCGGTCATGGTTGGGAGGATAACAGACGCTCTGTCCGGGGATGATGGAAAAGGGGTGCGAGCTCCTTGGTTGTACATTGCATTGTACATTATGTTTAGGTGGCTTCAAGGATCTCAGGGCATTCTCTCGGCTGCGAGGTCCATTTTATGGATTCCTGTTGAGCAATACTCGTACCGAGCCATCTCCACCGCCGCTTTCGAGCACGTCCACAATCTGAGCGCCGAATTCCACACGGGCAAGAGAACCGGAGAATTGATATCGGCCTTGAACAAAGGCAGTTCCATCAACTCCTTCCTCGAAATGGTCACTTTCCAGGTCGGACCAATGGTCTTCGATCTCATTGTCGCGATCGTTTATCTCACCATCAAATTTGACGCCTATCTTGGTTTGGTGGTGGCCATCGTTACATTCCTCTACATTTATGTCACTATCCGTCTTGCCGCATGGAGGGTCACGCTGCGCCGAAACTTTGTCAATGCCGATCGGGAGATGGAGGCGGTCAAGAACGATTCCCTGCATTCCTGGGATACTGTCAAGTATTTCAACGCCGAGGAGTATGAATTCAGCCGGTACAGGAAGGCAATAAAGACCATGCAGAGTTATGAATACTGGGTGGAAGTCACCTTGGCTTACATGAACACTGTGCAGGGCGCGTTGTTCATGGTGGCATTGCTGGTTGCCAGTTTCATCGAGGCATTCGAGGTTGCCCAAGGTGATCAAACCGTGGGAAATTTTGTCCTTCTCATCACGTATATGACGCAACTGCAAGGTCCTTTGAATTTCTTCGGAACCTTTTACAGATCTATTCAGTCCAACCTCATCAACGCCGAAAGAATGTTGGAACTGTTCAAGGAGCAACCGCACGTGGTCGACCGACCCGGCGCGAAGCCCTTGCAAGAATGCGAGGGTGACATCGTTTTTGACAATGTAACGTTCAGTTACGACAAACGAAGGCCAGCCCTCAACCACCTGAGCTTCCACTGTCCCCCCGGAACCACAACTGCGCTCGTGGGCGAATCAGGTGGAGGGAAAAGCACGGTTATGCGATTGATCTTTCGCTATTACAATCCCGACTCTGGACGCATCTTGGTGGACGGCATTGACGTTCAAGATATCACGCTAGACTCGCTGCGCCGATTCATCGGTGTCGTGCCTCAGGATTGTAACATGTTCAACGAGTCAATCATGTACAATCTTCGCTATGCCAACCAGGACGCCTCGGATGAGGATATCTACAACGCTTGCCGAGCTGCGTCCATCCACGATCGGATCATGCAGTTTCCAGATGGCTACGAGACAAGGGTTGGAGAGCGAGGTGTCCGTTTATCTGGTGGCGAACGTCAACGTGTGGCCATCGCTCGAACCATTCTCAAGAACCCTCGCATAACCATGCTGGATGAGGCCACGGCCGCCTTGGACTCGGAAACCGAAGAGAAGATCCAAGAGTCTTTGAACAATCTCGCCGAAGGCCGTACCATGATCATCATCGCCCACCGTCTCAGCACCATTGTTAACGCCGATCAAATTCTGGTACTTTCCAACGGTACTGTTGTTGAGAGAGGCACTCATGAAGAGCTTATTGCGCTTGGAGGCAAGTATGCTAGCATGTGGCGGAAGCAGTCGCGAGCACAAAAGGCTGCGGCGGAGGCGGCCGAGCTGAGGACAAGAGCCAAAAAGGCATTGGAAGAAGCTGAGGCGGATAGTGCCAGCGTCAGTGAAGAAGAAATCGAACAGGCCAAAAGACGAGACAGGGGGTTCACAAAGGGTCATAAAAGGGTCAACTTCAGCGAAAGCAGTCATTTACGAGCAAGTTGGGGGGTCGATGATCAGTCTCGCGGAAACGACGACAGACCAGAAAGCTCGCAGCATGACCGTGGCAACTCTGGGAAACCGCCTGGTCATCCCTGAGCTTTTCTATACAAGTCGAGGTTGGTTGGCGAGTACTGTTCGCCACTTGTTATGGGGCAAGGATAATGCTTTTCCGGGGGGTTACTGGGTGGTAATTGTGTTTAATCTGGTTTCTTGCACATTATCTTTGGGAATTGGTTCAAAAATGACCTTGACGACATGAATGACGGTGGAAGATAGCACAGGCGGATCGAACATGACATCGGACATGAGGCGAGTACAGATCCGAGTCCAGCATGAGCAGGCAGCACCAGGTTCTGCTGGCCGCACGGTATTTGTAAAGGGAGGAATGATTTCACCGCGAGCAGCAGACATGGATTGACTCTGTGATGCATGACGGTTGTGCCAAAACTTGATGGGGACTTTGCAGCCATTGGTCTAATCATTGTGTTGAGAAAAGAAGAGCTTGCTGCCTCAGGGCATTGGAAACACCAGCGTGTCTATGAAGAGCTTGACTCTTTTGCATGGGTCCGAAAATTGTTGGCAACTGTAGGCATGGTTGCAAACAAGACCGAGGAAGGAAATGTTCAGTCAAAGTTACTGTCAGAATCTCGCTGGCTTGCACAACCGCTTCAGGTTTCTGGCTTGGCCGAGGCTGATCAGTGTGTAATGCAGTGCGTTAAATGAAAAGTCCGTCTTTATGCTAATTGTTCCGAGATCGCCAGTGGTAGTAGATTGCCAGTTCTGATTACCATTACCTACCTGTCACGTTCTGGATTATAGATATCGATAGACAGCCTAGAACCGTCGCTTCTTCTTGGTACCGTTGGCCCCCGCTAGGACGCGCTTGAGTTCCATTCGACGCCGGTTGGCTTTTTGTTCGTCGGTTTCTTGCTCTTCTGCTTTAGGCGGTGGCGGTTGTGGTGGTTGTGAGGACTTGAGGTTTTCTTTTGTGCTCTGGGATTCAGTGTCGGCGATAGAAGAGAGAGATTTCGCCCATTGTGAGGCTGCACGGGCCGTTGTCGTGGTGGTGTCTCTTTGGCTAGGTATAGGTTTAGATTTCGATGTTGAACGTGGTGCAGCCGGAGATGGAGATGGAGAACTAGTAGCTGATCTATCCCTATCCGCAGACTGTCGTTGGTCGTCGTCGTCATTGGGGGTTTCTCCTCTTTTGCGTCGAGGAGTCGGGGTGGGTTGTTGGGATGGTTGTGATTGTGATGGCTGATTGCGGCCGATTCGGCCGAGACGACGTCTGGGAGTGGTCGCCGCGGCGGATGAAGGGGAGATCTGTGATGATTTTGGTTCTGGGTTGGTCTGCTTGTCGTGGGTTGGGTTCTTGTTCTGGTTGGGTTGCGGTTTAGGATCATCGAGGTCGAGGTCGAGGTCGTCATCGGCTGTGGAATCGGTATCGGAGGCAGAATCGGGTTTGGTGGTGGTCTTGCTCTTGGGCGTCGATCTTGCTTGCGGTGTTGATGTGGATGTGGATGTGGGCTTTGGTTTGACGCTCGGATTTTTGGGAGTGCCAGTGCGCCGTTTACTGCCAACCGGTGCGGAATCAGAGTCCGAGTCCGTGCCTGATTCTGTGCCCGTGGCACGGCGGTTGTCTGCTCCTTCGCCGGAGGGCTCAGGAGACTCGTGGTCAGGCGTGGATGCATGTCGCCCTCGTGTCGTGTTCCTAGTTGCGGGCGGCGACGGGCTAGCTGGTTTGTTCTTTCGTAAGCCGCCCAGCTGCCGCTTGGTGCCAGACTCGTCTTTACGGGCTTGGTGCTTCGAGGGCTGAGATTTGGAGTCGTTGTCGTTGTCGTCCTCGTCTTCGGAAGCAGTGGGACTTGCCGTGGCGCTTCCGGTGGAGGAGGTAGATGTAGCACGTCTTCTCGCTGGTCGTGACGATGTTTGTTCAGTGGCCGGTGGTGGCGATGGGGAGCGTTGGCGGGCGTTGGACGTTCCAAAGGCTTTGGTGGCGTTGCGTCGACCGAGACCTCCGATTTTTGACGCCTTGGTCCGCTTGGATGGGGGTTCTTCGTCCTCGGAAACGTCGTCATTCGCGGCTCTGGTGGACTTCTTTGTCTCCGGAGCCTTTGATCTCAATGCTGGCGGCGTCGGTTGTCGCTCGAAATCATCATCGGAATCTGTAGATTCGTCATTCCCAGAATCTCGACCGCGTTTATTGCTGGTGCTCTTTGTCGCGGGGGGAGGACTGTATTGGCGGTTCTTCTGGGCGTCCAGTCTGTCCGCCGGTGGCAAGGACCCGATCCAGTCCTCGTGTTCAGCCTTGGTATGCACGAAGCACTTCTCACATCCACGTACGAGATTGCTCAGGCCTGTTCGGTCGGCGCCCTCGTAGCCGTCGTCGTTGGCGAACTGCTTCGTCCACGATTTCTCGTCAAAGGCAGCCATTCCAGGCACATGTTTCTTGGCCTCCGCGACGGAGATGTGTCCGCCCGCTCTGCGGGAAGCCACGCCAGTGATGCCGGGAAATATCAGGCTAAGGTCAATGGCCGAACTGCCAATTCTGTCGAGAAGCCGGGAGATGACATGGTCTTTCTCCTTGATAATATGCAGGAGAGAGGCTATCTTCTCCTGAGAGACGGCGACTTCATGCAGACTAGGCCGGAGAATCCTCTCAGCTAGCTCAGACGCCGGTTGCGGAGTGAGTTTGAACGTCCATTCCAAAGGTCTCAGGGGCTTTGGCAATTGAATGCTCGTCCTCAGACGCAAGACTTGATTGTTGCCATCGCGGCCGTCAGCTCTGAGTAGGACGTTGTTGCCGTCCTTCAGACTCTTGGTGATTTTGGACAGGAGCACCTCGAATTGGTCGGATGATGCTGACGGGTCGATGCTCGTGTGCTGTCGTGACGCTTCTGCTAGGATGTCATATCTGTCCAGGATGCATTCCCAGATGCCGATCAGGTCGGTCAGGAGAAGTGTGATGGATTCGTTTTCTGTCGATAACGAGTAGAATAGTTTGGGACACTGTCGCTTGGATGGGAGTTGCAGTTCCTGCCAGCCTTCACTGCCTGTCTCAGGCATATTCAAGTTGGGCCCGTGGTGGGCCGCTCAGGCTGAAAGGCACGGAATCTCCCTTTCACATATGCCTTCTTGCAATAATGTGACCGCCGGGCCCCTCACAGTCGACTATGAAACTTGTACAAGCCCTGCCGGGTACTCCTGGACAGCCACATAGGAGATGCGGGGAGCGTTTTTGTTGCTAGATGGGAATCGGATTGAATCCATGGTATGGCGACGTGATAAACATCGCGGTCAAGTTGTTCTTGTGCTTGACCGTTGTAGATGCGTGGATGACTTGTACGGCGAAGCACAAAAACAGCGACCTGCATTATCAGAGCCTTAGTCAGCCACTCACAGCCGTTGATTGGCTTCCCTCAGAGCTCCGACTCCTCTTGTACTAGGTGCCTGAGTAGTTGTTCAGCTTGAAGTTCCCGGGAATGTATTTTGGAATGGTACGGGAGTATCCCAGTGAGAACAGCGATCTCGATGTTTGGTGTCTTGGATCCCCCAAAATGTCCCCCTGCTGCTGTCGAAGTTGACCAACAGCCTCGCTACGAATGCAGAGGTGACGCCAGCCCCAAGACCAAAACGCTCCTGTTTCAAGGGAGCCACACCCTGCAGTGGCCGCCTATCTGATGTATGTAGAAGCCTTTTACGTGAGGCAGTACATGTCGGAGTTTTCTTCATGTCCTGTCTCGACTGCTATCGCTCGGTGTCAAGTTGTGACGGAGGAGGATCTCCCGCCCCCAATCCATCTGCTTCGAACTGCAGAATGCTTCAAGCCAGCCCCGTGTACAGCGAGCAGGACAAACGTTTGTGCCACTAATTTACACTGCTCAGTTAACATATTTGATCATATACTCCCTTCTGGCCACGGTGGGTTACCTTCTGAGCGTCGTTTCCACTCACCTGTGGTCCACCACAAGCTGCTGTGTCTTACAGTACATCCCCACACAAGTCTTGATATCTTGTATCATATGGACAATCGCCCTCTCCTTGCCAAGTTGAACACTCCACTCAGTCCACAATAGTCCGCCCAAGTGCTCTTTCAGGGCTAAGTCCGTGCTCACAACATGCGGATCTGGAGGCCCGAGAAAGCTTACGAAAATGTGGTGGTTAGCGAGGTGAAAGAATTCCAAAGACTCCACCACATTCATTGGCGGGCACCGACTGTCATGGGAGTCAGCTTCCTTGGAGCAGTTGTACTAATGGCACTCCACCACACGTTATATCAGACCGTGGACGGTCAACCGGCAACGGCAGCTGTTATCCAGTCATGGGTCAATCGAGCCGGCACAGCATTAGCCTTCGTATCCAAGCTATGCCTCGCAATTGGCACAGGCGTGGCCTATGATCAGTGGATGTGGGTCGACCTACATTCGAAACCTCATCAGGTCCGCAGTCTTGATACCATGTTCTCCATCCTTCAAAATGCCTTCGGGTTCCTCCACTTGCGACTTTGGTCCATGAGGCCGGCATTAGCATTCTTGGCTGCTGTGACTTGGTAAGCGTTCTACATACTAGAGCTTCGATGGATGCTGATGGCAAGAGGCTGTTGCCTATAGCCGCCATATTCACGCCTGGCACCATATCGGTTCAGCCTGTTTTAGTGACGGAAAATGGGACGTTGCAGGTCCCTCAACGAGCCTATACCACCGCTGGGCAACTATACTGTGGCACGGCCATCCAAAATGATACTACGACGTACCAATCGCTGGCGACGGGACTGTTGAACCCGACATTTGCAACTGTCCTTTCAAATAGTGTTCTTCCTGTTCCGGCATCATCTATGAATTTGACGTATGACCTTGATTTCTACGGACCCGCAGTCTCATGTCAGCCGTCCAGCGTGCGAGACTTCCAGTTAGCAAAGCAGGCTATCGCGGAATTCGAAAATATGACAGACGGGCGGGTGTTTTATTATGGGTGGGTTCCACAGCCAGGATGGGGTCCTGGTGTGAACGGATCCTTCTTCGACTCGACAGACCTCCGTATTGGCAACTTCCGCATCGATTTCCAGTCACAAGATGCGGCACGGGTTTTTGTCTATCTCAACACTACCGGCGTAGATGCAAAGGGAGGTCGAGCTTCGTTTGTCGGGACACCTGCGGCACAAATGATCACTTGTGCCCTGTACAACGCCTCCTATGCAGCCCATTTCGAAGTCAAGAGCACTGGAGAGCAACAAGTCACAGCAGATCATACTTTTCAAAACTGGATGGCAGCCTATAGCACCGTGAACGGAACGACCGAAGACCCTCTGGTCACCCGTCAGATGAACATACAAGCTGTCATGGAGGCTTTTGGTATGATGATTGTTGGCCCAGTAACATTTTCCAATGTCAACCAAGGTCCTACAACCAACTCGGTATATTCACTAAGCATGAATCCCGCTCTATTTCCTTCCCAACCTGGACTCAATCAGACAGGGATGACGCTTCGATTGAGTACATTGTACGAAGATTTGGCTCAGAACATTACGTTGAGCATGTTGTACGGTGTACTTCCTGGGTATGTGTCTCATTAATCTTGCTCGATATTGTGCCAATGCTGTTTTAGGGTTGATTATTCTGGTCAAACAGACGCTGCTGTCATCAAATCGACTTTCCAACCCCGGTTCGTCTATCAGCCACGCACATTACTCGTGACTTATGGAGTGAGTACCTTGTTCGCCTTCATATGTGTGGTGATGGGCGTGCATGCTCTTTTGCACAATGGGGCATCATACACCAACTCTTTCTCAACCATAGTCAGAGTCACAAGGGATCCATCCTTCTCCAGGTTGATCGCAGATGAGGGAGACCTGCAGGGCGCTGAGCCGGTACCGAGACACATTCGCGAGGCTGAGATTCGCCTAGGACGCAGTGCCAAAGTTTCGGCCAGTCACGCTTCCAGCTGGCTATAAGGATGCAAAGAAATTAGGTTTGGCGATAGCGATGAGATGGTCATGAACAACGTAGTTTTGTACATATATAGCTCCTTTCAGATAAGACGAAAAGATCTGAGCTTGCAGGATTCCTGGTTAGGGGTCGTTTAGCTTTCAGCCTTGCGCCGCCGTGTGATGCCGTATGCCAAGACCGGCCAGCCTTGCGCGCGCGGCAGGCGGACATTTCAACCCCGACCTGCCCCCAACTTTGGCTGTGTCGACGCCGATCGAACAGGCACTTTTTGCCGATCTTTGTCCAGCATCAATTCTACAACCACCTTCACCATAGTTCAATCCTCGCTACTGTGCTGTCAATATGAGCGATTACGGACCAGCCCTCAAGCGCAGAAGGTCGCAGTCACCTCGTCCCTGGCGACAGCAGGAACCGGATCGACGCTACCGCGAACGAGATGCCCCCCACCGTCGAGACGATGGCCCGCCACAGAGATGGTCCCACAAGGACCAGATGAAAATCAATCAGTTACAAGAAGACGAGCGAATGCGCGAATGGGTGGCGCAAGAGGATGAGTTCGTTCTCCGACAGGCGAAGAAGAAGGCGGAGATTCGAGTCAAAGAGGGGAGAGCGAAACCTATAGACTGGCTAGCAGTCACACTGCGCGTGGTCGACCCGACGAGAGATCCCCTGGACGACGAAGTCGATGAGAAAGACCTGGATTTTGTGGATCCTGAGAGCGTGTTCGACGGCCTTTCGGAAGCCCAGCTCGCGGATCTGCGCAAAGATATTGAAACGTACCTGAACCTGGAAACGAACCGAAAGAACCGCGAGTACTGGCGGACGATGCAGATCATCTGCAAAGAGCGACAGAAGAAAGCGAGCTCATCGTCTGGTCCAGAGGGGCGAGCAGTCAGTTCCGTGGCAGCGGACATCGACAAGTTACTGGCACCAAAGACATACGAGCAACTTGAGGTGCTGGAGAAGCAGATCAGGAATAAACTAGACTCGAACGAACCCATCGACACGGACTACTGGCAGCAGCTCCTCGACAGTCTGCTGGTGTGGAAGGCCAAGGCGAAAGTGAAGAAAGTGTACCAAGACGTGCTTGACTCGCGGCTACATCAGCTGAGACAGGAAAACGAACGCAAAGCACGCCAGATACAAGACCAACTGAGACAATTCGGCATGATAGCCCCCACCACCACTTCCACCACGTATTCGAAAGAGCTGGATCCTGAGCCCTTACTCGAGATACCCGCCAAAGACAAAGCGCTCGAAGTTCTTGACGAAACCAACTTTTTACAAAGCGTCGCCGCCAGCAGACGCAGAGTCATCAACATGGGGTACGTACCTGCTCCGAAAGGAACATCAGTTCCTACGGACAAGTCTGGCTCGACATCGACGACATTAGTTCGACAAACACCATCCCAATCCGTGTCTATTGACCCAACCAGTCGGTTCGACCAGAGTACGGACTCCTCAGCCGCGACCAAAGCCCTATTCGACCGCGAAGTAGCCAAAGGGATGAACGAGAACGAGGAGATTTTCACCGGCGAGGAAGAAGTGCCCACAGATCAGAAACCGCTGTGGATGGGCAAGTACCGGCCCCGCAAGCCGAAATACTTCAACCGCGTGCAAATGGGCTACGAATGGAACAAGTACAACCAAACACACTACGACCACGACAACCCGCCGCCCAAAGTCGTGCAGGGCTACAAATTCCACATCTTCTATCCGGACCTGATCGACCCGACCAAGGCCCCGACTTACAAAATCATCCGGGAGGGTGGTCGCAAAAAGGGCCAGACTATGGCCCCTGCCGGCGAGGAAGACACCTGCATCATTCGATTCATGGCCGGCCCGCCTTATGAAGACATTGCTTTCCGTATCGTCGACCGCGACTGGGATTACTCGGCCAAACATGATCGGGGGTTCAAAAGTACTTTTGAAAGAGGGATTTTGACGCTCCACTTTACGTTTAAGAGGATCGTCTATCGGAAGTAGGTGGTACAACGTCCTCTTATACAATAATAATGAGTGTCTCAAATGTAATTTGGTCATAAACGTGTGCGTGAATCATGATCAATGATGCAAATAGGTAGGGGAACTGGTTCTAGTTCTAAGGTAGTACTATACGGCATACAGTCGGAACACTCTTCCTCGTCCTTTACTACAACGTTGTACATGTAATATAAATATATAAACGGGCAATGACAGACCTGACTCTCGGACATGACAAGGTGATTGCGCTATCGTGAAGACAGGGGCAAGTCAAGTCCTGATGCATCAAGCCTGCCAGTGTCTGGCAAGTGAATATCTACCTGGTAGCTTACCTAAGGTAATAATTGGGCCTTGAACTGTTTACTTGTTCATGACGTATTTTGTAGGTCAGTCTTCCATCATGACTACCTAGGTACACGTCCTCTCAATTATTATTACCACCTTCAAGTTGTGATCGCGAGCAGCATTGGCGCCGAGCCTCGGCATATCGCTGATCACTGGCAACAACTTCAACAGCCTGGGTTCCCAAGACTGGATTTCTCAGTCCTACTAGTTGTAAGGGGGCTGTGCAGCGCACTGCAGCGCGACATGGATGGTGGTGATTTCACGAATTATCCGAGCAAGGTGCCTACTAGGTACCTTAACATGGTAGTTAATGGGGTCGACAGTACAACGTATATCATGAGCAGCTATAATGTAGTGGTGTAGGTGGTGTAAGTGGCGCTCTGGGATCTGTAGATGGTGACGAATGCTAAGACTTGGGACTACTACAATGGACATACTAGGACTTGGGCCCAATAGCCGAGTGGAGGAGGTACCTACCTTAGGTAGCTATTGTTCTCAACATGGAGTGTGAGACGATAGACAGGTAGGTACGTAGGCAAAGAGGTTATAATTGTTTTGACCGAAACGTCGAGCAACACCACACTGCGGTGGTCCGCCGATGATCAAACAAAGATAATATATACCAGGTATCCAAAAGACATGAATTCGTCGGGGAAAAAAGAGAATACCATCCATCCAACGCTAATACGACACACAGTAGAGAAAGAGACATGAAACACCCACTTCACGACTTGCACGCCTGCACGCCTGCCAAATCGCCTTCTTTTTTGCACAACTTCAAAATCTTTGGCTCGCCGGCGCTGGGAGGAGCATTGTGAGTCTGCGTCTATCGTCGGCTTGAAACGTTGTAGTGAGGATCCATCATGTAGACTGAGCCGACACCAAGTAACAGCAAGGCGATAGTTGTAGCTGTAGCACTGTTTTAAGGTCATGGTTCGGGTTCTTTGGGTGGTGTTTCGCGCTCCGACTCAATGGGCTCCAGCTTTGGGTGACGCCGCGCCTTTTTGGAAGCAGGCTCGACCCCATAATCTTCCTCCCACGTCACGGTTTCTTTGTGCATAGCTCGTCGTACCCAGGGGACCGAGATGGCGGACCAAATGCAGGCCCAGAGGAAAGGAACACCCCAGCCTGAAGACCTCTATGTTAGCATCATGCGTATATATGTGTGGGTGGTGGCAGTCATGCCCCCTATGTATGTAAAACATACCTATACCGTATCCCACTTTCTTGGGTACTGGATGAATGACAATGACAATGGTGCAAGCCACCGCGATGATCAGCGATGGTATGGACCAGAACAGAGATTGTTGCTTGATCATTCTGCGGAACCGTGGACTCGCTTTGTATCTCGCAGCCAACGCTTCACGGTACGGTCGGCCGGCACTTGCGTTGACGGCGATCACATCTTCAATCAGATAGTATACTCCAGGATAGACTTCGCCTCCTTTGGGCGTCGAGCTTATTCGGAACGGTGCTCTGCGACCTGACAGACTCCACATGGTAATGATGAAGACGCTGCCGCCCAGTGCAAAGAGAAGAGCCGGTCCGGGCAGGGACAAGATTCGGAGCCATACAATATGCGGAGCACTGCCCACAATGAGAAGAGCAGTCACCACGGCAATCGTCAAGACGAAAATCCAATGTGTGATGTCGAACGCCCATCGAGTCGAGGTGCCGAGCGGTCGGAAAAAGTCTTCCTTTTTAATTAGTCGCCAACAACGGACGGCGAACTCGACATAGGTCGGTCCACCCCAAATGGTGGCCACCACCGCGAAAACTGTGACAGTCTGCGTCAGTCGTGATCCCACCCAGAATGACTTTGTTCGAGCCTTTGACAACGTACCTATCCATCCCTCTATATGGCCTGCAAACGTCATCGAATAGTATAACACGATCGGGACAACGCAAGCATCCACGACCATTATAAAGATCGTAAGGAACAGTTTCCATCTGCGCCATCCATATCTCCATGTGAAAGGCAACTGGGGCAAGAGGTCAGGGTGCTCAGCATAGTATTCTTGAAGCGTGCTGGCTCGTCTTCTAAACTCTCTTTTGGTTGCAGCGCGACTGTCATAATATGCAGGACTCTCCGGTTCGTCATGACTATGTTTGCGATGATGTTCTCTTCTCCTGTCCACGCTCTTCTTGCGAGTAGACGAAATACTCAGTCGGCTATCGACTCCACTCAGGGCCTGAACAGGGGACGGTTCATCGGGAGATGCGCCTTCGGGGGTAAAGTGGACAGTGCGTGCTTCTCGTATCGGACTGCCCGGAGCCTGGCTGCCGCTGCGGTCGATGCTGCCATTGCGGTCAACCGTAACACTCGCACGACTACCTCTGACAACCTCGGGCATGGCGCAGAAGAAGCAGCAAGTGTTTCAGAGCGAAAGTTCAAGAAACGAGGGAGGAAACAAGGACGATCATCCTCAATCCGGGGAGTGTGCGAAAAGGAGGGAACAAAGGAGGAACACTGCCACGAAGTGCCAAGTGTTAAGAAAAGTTGCGGACTGTCAACCGGAGCAACAATGCCTCCGGACACGAAGAATGATGTGTAAGGTAGTGTGCTGCTGAGACGGAGCTTTAAAGCACAGATGAGGAGAGACAGGTGATTGCGATTGAAGGTGAGGGTGGTGATGCCGGTACCATGCTATAGCAAGGCACTATGTATGTTGTATTATTTGCCTTGGACTTGAATTGGCCGCATGCAGTGCACAAGGACGATTGACAACTAGTATTAGCAGGATTACTAGTAGACTACCACGCCACTAACTAATTGAACGTAGGTAGATAGTGCATCGAACCGTTGGCGGAACTGGAAGTCAACACGTCGGTGACGTATGCGGGTGCTTCCTATAGGCTGCGGATTCTTGGCCGGGATAATCCTTCGGGTCTAGATTTCTCCTCTTCCGACTTGGCAGCAGTGCAGAGACCAAAATTTTCACGTGACAGGTGCTTACCGGCTTACATAATACTGCCTCACCCTTAGGTATGTGCGCCTGCGGTGAGAAGGGCACACTTAGCAGGCATACTACCTACGTCTGATACTGCCAGGTAAAGACACCGCACAACAGGAACTACCAAAGTACTACAAAGTCCAATTCATTGAGTATTCCAAGGTCCTATGCGTAACCAGCAGCCTATGCATACTGCTGTTCTGTGTGTCAATCTTCTGCTTTTCCGGCATGGGTCGATCAGCCATATGTTTCAGTGCTGAAAGGAAAAGCCAGTCTAGCACAAAAGGTGTCTACCTTATGCTCTTAGCATTCCCTTTAATGACTGTTGTCGTGACTACACATTTGGACCAAACCATCCGTCTTCCCAGTGACATGATCTGCTGGAGGTTTGTCGTCAGATCATCTCCAATCGATGCCGTTATTTTGCTGCGGCTGCTAAACTAACAGGAACCTGACCCTTCAGCCTGCAATGCTTACGGTAGGATGAGCAGATTGCGGACTTATTTTCATGGCGGCTTGGGGCGGAAGATGGCTGACTGATGAACTTATAGGAGGATCTAAGGGGTATACACTATTAACTGTTGGTAATACTCCTGCTGCTGTGATTCATGTCCCAGACAAGAATGGACTCTAGCCGACTGGGCTTGCGCCTTGTCTGAGAGCATCATTCTGCATCAACCGGCCAGATTTGTCCCGCTCACAGTGAGATGTCGCCCCTCCATCCAGGTCAACAGCCTCTCTGTCCTTCAGCAGAAAATACGCAGAAACTAAGTCAAATTTTCTGGCGACAGGGTAAGGGAGTGGATCGCTGCAGGTTGGCGATTTGAAGCCCAACTGACTGCACCCTGCCGTCCTCAGCAGCGTTGACTCTGCATCCCGTCACACAGAGAGCAACCCATACTGGTCGGAAACTGATTGGACTGCGGAAGCAACAAAATGCCCGGATTTTCTCTGGCCGAATGTCGTCCTGTACAATACAACGCTAGCATACAACAGGTCAATTCAGCCATCCTCTCCATACAGGTGAACGGGCATGAGCGTCCAGGTTCAGGAGTCTTTTGTTTGTGCTCCGCTTTCCTACCCTGGCCCCCTGCCTGTTTGCATGATTCCCTCGCTTCATCCCATGTCACTGTCAAATGCATACCAGATCTGCTTGCTTGTTCTTAATAATGCCATTCTGACCCCTTGACCTTTTCTGATCTGTGCGATCAACCTCCATCCTCTGTCCTGTGCCCGTCTTAAAGACCTACATCCTCTTCACGTCTTAGGACATAACTTGCTGGATTTTGGTTCGCGCCGCCCCAAGGTTGTCCATCAGCAGCACAGGATCCCTCATCTAAGGCGGACCATCTTTCGGAAGCTTCTACTGCCTACATCTGTTCGCCACGGCTGCGCTGTTGGCATGTATGAGATGGAAGTCGACGATTCACCTCATCAGTTGGAAGCCTACAACAACATGATGGGCTCGCAGCTGCCAGACATCATGTCTAGGACGCTCCACGATCACAACTCACATCCGTCAACATCGGAAGCTGCAAGCCTGCCCTTATTTCAAGGTGGTATCTTGCAAGAGTTGCACCCTTTGCTCAAAGTGGAGGCTGTAATGGACGAGACATTGGAACCGGTGGGAACTGGTCAAGAACATCACCCTCCACTTGTTTCCACTCAGGTTCAACTCTCAGACCTGGAGTTGGGTCCCACATGGTTCTCGCAGCAGACTTACCCGACACTTGTCGGCGCTCGTCCCATGTCGACCACTGCACTCGACAGTTGGCCGTTTCTGCCATGCTCTGCTGAATTGACGCCACCGTATTCAACGTATCATTACTTTGACGACAGTGATGGTCGCAGTCCATGGTCTTCGTCGCCAGAGTTCGCTCACAGCCAGCCCTTGACCTCGCTTGGTGAAGTTGGAGAGGGAATCACCGACAAGCCTTACGCAAGGCTGATTTATGAAGCTTTGATGCAAGCACCAGGCCACAAAATGATGCTCAGAGACATATATGAGTGGTTTCGCCTCAATACTACCAAGCCTCAAGAGTCTGGCTCGAATGGATGGCAGAACAGCATTCGACACAACCTCTCCATGAACCAGGTACGTTTCTAGTCGCTTGTTTGCGTCGAGGCCTTTCTGACACCAGTCGCAGGCTTTCGAGAACGACAGGGAAAGCTCCCGAAGTAGCGCGAGAAAGGCCAACAGCGTTTGGATGTTGACTGAGGACGCCATCGCCCACGGCGTTCAATCCACAACCAGATATCGAAAGACGGGAGGGGCCAGGAAAGTCACATCTAATCGTGCCCCTGCGATTCAGCGTCAAAGATCTGGAGCCAGAGGCGGGCGCGCTGCACGTTGGGCAGCGAGGCAGAGGCGCCCAGGAAACTCTCTCCACACAGAAGGCACCACGCCTTCGTGCAGTCCCACTACCCCCTCTCAGTCAGATGTGAGTGAATACCAAAGCTTTGAATACAACGAGCTGCGACCGGCCCTGTTGCATTGGCCCATGACGCCGGTGGACGATAGTCTACATCTAGCGGATGGTGCGATGCAGAATATGTGTCTATCTCCACAGCGGTCAATCGATGCTTCGCAGTCTGGCCACAGAGATGAAGGCTTGCACTCGGAAGAACTGGTGCTGCGTTGTTTGACGGACCGTCAGTCACATGGGTCAGGGAGCCCCCGGATTGGTTGATGATCGCAGGCAAACCCGCTGTAAGGATCAAGATCGGCCCAACCTCGACGTGCGGGGGATCACGATGAGATAGTCGAAGGTCGATCTCTGTATGAGCTGCTGAAGTCAAACCCTGGCCCAGTGACTAGGGGCCGGGAAATGTACCAGGGAGGCTATGATTGTTTGTTCAGCTCCACATAGAACGAGAAAGCGCACCTGTGATAGACAGGGGTCCTGGGGCTAATCACTGGAACCTGCCTACTGGGGTGTGAAATGTGAGATGCAGTGGTGGATGGCAATATAATCGATTAATTGTCCAATGCTGTTTTGAAGGCAGCAAGTAGTGACACTACTTGGCCGAAAGACGGAAATAAATAATAATACTAGAAATCATCCCATTTTCATGGCGGATGCTGCCGCCTGTCAATGTTTCTTTGCACTTCATTCCTGCCTCACAGCAACCCTGACATCAACACAATTGCGGTAGTTGAATGGACCACCCAAGCTAGACAGGAGTCGAGCTCAGCACGCCGCCGCCACATTTTTTTACCCTTGAGAGTTGCAAGGTTGTCTATCGGCAATCGCTGAGCTAGAGTGGGCAGGATGGTTCAGCTGCCATGCCTGCGCTCGCTTCGATCACGAACCAGCTCTTCCTCTCCTCCGTTTCTACCAGCTACTACGGCCTGTAAAGCGTTCCAAGACATGCGTGCGCTGGCAATTTGCCCCTGTCTCGACAAATCGGCTGACGATATCGTTCCGGGAAGCTCGATCGTGGTGTCAAACGAACCTCTCCCAGATTCCAACAACTACCTATTCAAGTTGACAGCAAACTTCTTAGACCCGCAGCCGGGGTTGTCAATCGGCCTGCAGTAAACGACGCAGAAAATGCACATGTAGACAACCCGGGGTTGGCATTTGACCTGTCGAGCCAATATAATGCTGACGATTCAATCATTCTTCACACTAATGCAGAGCCTTACGCCGGGGACAAAGCCTTTGCTTCCGCTGAGTCTTATTCGGCCCTAGTCTTGCCACGTTCATGGCTTCCTGGAGTGATGGCGGTGCGGACCGACCAAGGGCGAGAATGTCCCGCTGAGAGGGAACAAAGGCCATGTGTTTTCTTTTGCTCACGCTGCAAATGTGTCGATGCAGACTCTCGCCTGGGAAACGAAAGCTCTCAATCTCACACGTGGCGTGACCACAACGAAGCTCCTACCAGAAGGAAACAAATCTTGCCTCCAGCCTGGGTGTGCGAGAAACATCTCACGCAGTTGGGGGACGAAGAATGGATTGTACTGGTTGACGTGGCTGAAAGACGGCAATGAGGATCCCAATGAGGCCGTGGCTTGCTTCGGCTTGTTTATTCTCGGAATTTGCTGACAATCAGCTTCACCAGGCCGCATAGTCACATTGCCACCACGTTTCAGGTAACCTGGTGATCAATCCATCCTCGAGGTTGGGGTTCCAGCCAGATCTACGCCGTGGATGTAAACGACAACAGAAATCTCGGATCTTGAACCATATTCGGATCTCAGGACGTGAGCTTGCTCTTACAGGTCCATCACTTTGTGGGTATTGTCTGTGGGGGAAGGATTTTGGCATGGCCTGTTCATCACTAACTGGTGCTGTTCCCCAAGGATCTCCCTCCATGGTGAGTCTAATTGCGGCTGGAACTGTATCAGAAAGATGACAACAATGGATATGATATGGCACTGAGACGAGGATGCATGCCGCGGACGACTGCTTGGGGCCCTAGACAAGACCTCTTCAGTGACCATTTTGCAAAATGAAGCCACGCAGCAGCCCGTTTTGCGAAGGTACACGCTGTGCTCCGCACAGGTGCCCCTTGAGCTTCCTTATCGTACAGAATACTCCTCGATGAGTTGTCAGCCTACGATATATTCTCCTGGCGACCGTACGGGCATAACTAGCCGGACATTGGTGCAGCTTTGCATAAGAAATACCTATTCTTTGCCTAGCCGAACCAATGGACGGAAGATGATACGCGAGAGCCTACGTCCAACATGCCTTCAAAGAGCTTTCAAAGAGCGGAGCCGAATTGTCTGGACCCGTCATCGACTCATCCTCCTCGCCCCGTGGCTGGAGTAATCTCCAACCCCAGCCTGAACCGGAAGAATTTGAGGAATACGCTGACGCAAGTTGACCGTTCCAGTGCCATCCTATCATGCAGCTTGCCGTCCATCCACTTCAGCCCTTGTCAGTCAGAACGTGCTTGACATATGCTAGGTAACGTTGGACAACACCAACCTGGGATTGATCGGAACAGGATTGGCCGCATGACCTCTTGACATGTCGCCGTTGAATTTTCTCTGGCTTGTGTAACGACTGCCTGCCATGCGAAGCATCCCGCATGCTGTCTCTTCTTCATGCCACTACTTCTGAAAGTAAGCCCTACTCCACAATGACACAAAGTTCCTTCTCGTTCAATGGCTCGTTGAAAATCGTATAGCTGCATCACATCGGAATACTGGCGAGGGAGCGGGAGGTCACCCTTTCCAGCCGAGGCCCTGCCTTCCTTCCCTGGACTGTTGCTGAACCTGACTGGAATGTTCCCGGTACTGGCGTTACCAGCGTGAAACGAAAGGGGCATGAGTATCTCCCACGCCATCCCGTGAACAAAGAGAGTTGGTCATCGAAACACTTCACCAGTGTTGTACTATGACATCAACTCTGGCGTACCATCAAATAGGCGCAGGGTGGACCGCCCTTTAGCTGCTGTATGGACAATCTGCAAAAGCACCACTGAGTCGGCCTTCTTCAATGAGCCGCCAATGACCATTCTGAGTAGATGCCTACACCAAAGAGCCAACCCTAGCGGGGAGCTTCCTTCTCTCAGTGCGCACACACATGGCTTAGGAGTCAAAATGGTGTTCTGTTGTGGAAGAACCTGTATTACCACTGCATTTCTTCAACAACCCAAAGCCCACACTACTGTCCAACTACCCAGCAGCTTCGAGGGTGGCTGCTGATGGGGGCAGTGGGCGCGAATTCTCAAAAACAGTAAAACTTTCGGACTGTGCCTGGAATGTATGCAGCCTTCCGGCCTTGCGAGGCGTTGCGTTGCTGTCTGCCCCCTCTTAAAGAGGGATATCCCTGCTTTCAGGTCGACGTTGCACAGCCGTACTTCCTACAGAAACAGAAATCCCCCGACGGGTCCTCAAGAAGCTCGCCTTCGTGGCTGCCAGCAGATATGACAGATTTGACAGCGGCTCTTGTACGACATCCCCTCAAGATCAACTTTCCAAGCTCCACGCTTGGAGGGTCTTGGGGAGGGTATTTCTGAGGTACTCTGTCCTGCAGAGAACAGCTCCAAGGCGTGTGGTAGACTGTGGCAAGTCGTCCATTTACTGTGGTCACAACGAGCAAAAGGTGTTCGAGGTAGAAAAGAATGTTAGCGGTCTCCGGGAAATTTTGCCTCAATCCTTGCCCGGAAAACCGTTGTGATCCGTTGTGGTGTCACTTGCTGAACACTCGACAGCTTCCACTTGTGCGTTTGAGCACTGATAACGACTGATAGGTGAGAAAACAGAATCGTTTACTTGCACTGGTCCTCACTTGTGTGACTACTATCTTCACGCTGTGATCGACCCTCTCACTACCCTGTAATGTCGCAGAGTGGCATGGGCAAAGATCGCCTTACTTTGACATAGTCCGAGTTCTAATTGTCTTCCACATAGTGGACGCCACGATTGGTCGGTAGAATCTTTGTCGTCTTCCGCTTTGTGTGCTGTGGCCGGAAGTTAGGGTGCGAGAAAAGTCCAATTCGACATACCTTTCCACGGGCTTGATCGACCGTGTGTGATCGCACCCTATGGTAGCATATGGTTCTTGGTTTGGACAGCAGCGTTCACGGGGCACACAGGGACACAAGAGTAAAATGGCTTATCACTCGCAATAAACTCTGGACCAAGCAGACGAAACAAATTGTCCGTACAGATTCGACGTACCAAAACTCCATCTTCTCATGCACACTAGCACAGTACGACAATGCAGTATGTAGGGACAAGGAAAGACCACGGCAAGTCAAAGATGATAAAGCAACACAAAAGGCGCTTGGAGAAAAAGGGTATTTGAGGACCCAATCATTCGTGATGTGACCTTATTTCGAAACCAGCATCGCGGCGATTTCTATTCCATAGGCTCATCTCGTGATCCTTGACGGAAAAGGGTCGAGGACGGCTTGTAACCTGCTGGCCGAGCCGTTCATGTTGTTGACTTGAAATTCTTGGATTTTTGCGTACTGACAATACAGCATCAATGTGGTCAGGTAGGCGTGGAAATGCTTTCGTGAAACCCGTGCGCCCGCCGGACCATCAACAAATTCTTTTCACCCCCAAATTGCTTCCATCCGAGCCCACACATTGCATTTATTTCTTGCCGGTCTTCTTCTCCTGGGTCTCCTTAAGCACCTTCTTGACGATCTTCTGCTCCTCGATCAAGAAAGCTCGGACGATCCGGTCCCGCACGCAGTTGGCGCATCTCGAACCACCATAGGCACGCTGGACAGTCTTCTTCGGTCGGGAGGTGGTGGCATATTCACGGGGTCGGAGAGCCGGAACCTGTTCACAGTAGATAGTCAGAACCCATTGCTCTTTTCATCTTCTCGCTCCAATTTCCCAATCCTCCATTCTTGTCGACAGAGTGCTGTGCTGGTTTGGGGCGCAACTTACGCCTGGGAGTTTGACGCCGCAGTCACCGCATTTCGGGGCAGTTCCTCGCTTCTTGATGTGCAGGAGCCGGAGCTTGCCACCGGGAGTCTTGATGACACGGACGTTGTTCGAGGTGGTGTTGTAGCTATATGTCATGACCACAGTCAGTTTCCATCCAGCATTCAAGTCAAATTCCATTCGTTAAAAGCCGTCGGGGCCACGAGGAAGAGGTGGAAGGCACGTACGGATTCCGGCGACGGTACTGAAGTCTGACTCCTGCCATTGCGACGGTATTGAATGCGCAATCGAGGGGATGGAATCGAGGGGATGGAATCGAGGTTGGCGATGGTGGTGGTTTCGATGTTGTCGTCGGATCTCTCAGCAAGCGGTTGCAGTGGGAGCCTCCCAAAATCAATTTTACAAAGTGCGGATAATCTTGGCATAGCATGTCCCAACGGGGACTAGTGCAGCTTAGTGTAAGGCGGGTGGTGCACGTGACCTAGCGGGTCCGCGCGCGCAAAAGTCGAAGTTAACTTCTTGTGTCGCGGGAGGCAATAAGTTGGACCATCTAACCCGCGGCTTTAACCTGTTCCATTTATCTCCAAAAGAACGGTCTTCCGGTGGGTTGTCGGCCTTTGTAACAGAAGGTGTCAACTGGAATAGGCCTGCTCTCGCAAGCCAGGACAGGCAGCGAAGGAACCGCCGCTTCTTTAAATGGTAAGCATCGTCCAGTTACCCATTTGAGGCGGGACAATCAGTTCATCGATTCCACTACGACAGTCACCTCCGCTCGCCTGAACGGCAGGGCAGGATGGCTTCGATCCCTCCACCACCGCCTCCGGGCTGGAATGCGGGAGGGCCAGTTGCTCCTCCACCTCCTCCGCCGGGAATGGCGCCGCCGCCCGGATACCGACCTCCCGTCGACCCTCAGGTTGCCAAATATGCACAAAAGAAGAAGGAATGGTTGCGGACGCAGCGCAACCGGTTTGGTGAGAAACGAAAGGGCGGCTTCGTCGAGACCCAGAAGGCGGACATGCCCCCGGAGCATCTGCGGAAGATTGTCAAAGATATCGGCGATGTCAGCCAGAAGAAATTCAGCAGTGACAAGCGAAGTTACTTGGGCGCGCTGAAATATATGCCTCATGCAGTGTTCAAACTGCTGGAGAACATGCCCATGCCGTGGGAGAGTGCCAGGGAAGTCAAAGTGCTGTATCATGTGAACGGCTGCTTGACCCTGGTCAACGAGATCCCGCGTGTCATCGAACCCGTCTTCCATGCCCAGTGGGCTACCATGTGGGTGTGCATGAGGAGAGAAAAGAGCGACCGACGACACTTCAAGCGGATGCGGTTCCCTCCCTTCGACGACGAGGAGCCGCCTCTGTCCTGGTCCGAGAACATAGAGGACGTCGAACCACTTGAACCTATTCAGATGGAATTGGATGAGAATGAGGATGGCCCAGTCTACGAGTGGTTCTACGAACATCGGCCTCTGTTGGACACGCCACACGTCAACGGTCCGAGCTACAGAAAGTGGAATTTGACGTTGCCTCAGATGGCAACCTTGTACCGGTTGTCTCACCAGCTGCTGAGCGACGTGGTCGATAAGAACTATTCGTATTTATTTGACCGTGAAAGCTTCTTCACTGCGAAAGCACTCAATGTCGCCATTCCTGGAGGACCACGGTTCGAGCCGCTTTACAAAGATATCGATCCTAACGACGAAGACTTCGGCGAGTTCAACGCGATCGACAGAATCATTTTCCGAGCTCCAATCAGAACAGAATACCGCGTGGCTTTCCCTTATCTGTATAACTCGCTTCCACGGAGCGTCAAGCTGTCGTGGTATCATTATCCCCAGATCGTCTATGTTAGGTCGGAGGACCCGAATTTGCCAGCCTTCTATTTCGACCCCGTCATCAATCCGATCTCGTCGAGATCTGTTGCTCCGAAGAACATCACGGTCAAACACGAAGATGAAATCTTTGGCGTTGGCAACAATGAGGATGACGAGTTCGAGCTGCCGGGAAATGTTGAACCGTTCTTGGCCGACGAGGAGTTGTATACCAGCGAGACAGCTTCGGCTATTGCTCTCTGGTGGGCTCCTTACCCCTTCGACAGAAGATCTGGGAAGATGGTCAGAGCTCAGGATGTTCCCTTGGTCAAACAGTGGTATCTGGAACACTGCCCGCCAGGACAGCCGGTTAAAGTGCGAGTTTCGTATCAAAAACTGCTCAAGACCTATGTGCTCAATGAGTTGCACAAGAAGAAACCCAAGGCTCAGAACAAGCAGGATCTTCTTCGAACCCTGAAATCCACCAAATTTTTCCAGCAGACCACCATTGACTGGGTTGAGGCCGGTCTGCAAGTGTGCCGACAAGGCTTCAACATGCTGAATTTGCTCATTCACCGCAAGAACTTGACCTACCTGCATCTTGACTACAATTTCAACTTGAAGCCTGTCAAGACGTTGACCACCAAAGAGCGGAAGAAGTCCAGATTCGGCAACGCCTTCCATTTGATGCGAGAAATCTTGAGGCTGACCAAGCTTATCGTCGACGCTCAAGTACAATACCGTCTGGGCAATGTCGATGCCTTCCAATTGGCCGATGGGATCATGTACGCTTTCAACCACGTTGGTCAGCTTACTGGTATGTACCGGTACAAATACAAGCTTATGCACCAGATTCGATCGTGCAAAGACTTGAAGCACTTGATTTACTACCGCTTCAACTCCGGTCCTGTGGGCAAAGGTCCTGGATGCGGCTTCTGGGCTCCTGCTTGGCGGGTTTGGCTCTTCTTCATGAGAGGCATCATTCCTCTGCTTGAGCGATGGCTTGGAAATCTTCTTTCGCGACAGTTCGAAGGTCGCCATAGCAAGGGTGTTGCGAAAACGGTCACCAAACAGCGAGTGGAGTCACACTTCGACCTGGAACTCCGTGCCTCTGTCATGGCAGACTTGATGGACATGATGCCGGAAGGCATCCGTCAGAACAAAGTGAACACCGTTCTTCAGCACTTGTCAGAAGCATGGCGTTGCTGGAAGAGTAATATCCCCTGGAAAGTTCCCGGCTTGCCAGCGCCGATCGAGAACATTATTCTACGATATGTCAAGAGCAAAGCTGACTGGTGGATTTCCGTTGCGCACTACAATCGGGAGAGAATTCGAAGAGGCGCCACCGTTGATAAGACTGTGGCTAAGAAGAATCTTGGTCGCTTGACCAGACTCTGGCTCAAGGCGGAGCAAGAGAGACAACACAACTACTTAAAGGATGGTCCTTACGTGTCATCAGAAGAAGCTGTGGCTATTTACACAACCACGGTGCACTGGCTCGAGTCGCGGAAGTTCTCTCCTATTCCTTTCCCCAGCGTGTCTTACAAGCATGATACCAAGATCTTGATCCTGGCTCTTGAGAGGCTCCGTGAAGCCTATTCGGTCAAAGGTCGCTTGAACCAGAGTCAGCGAGAAGAGTTGGCATTGATCGAACAGGCTTACGATTCGCCAGGCACCACCTTGGCCAGGATCAAGCGCTTCTTACTCACCCAGCGAGCTTTCAAGGAGGTCGGCATTGATATGAATGACAACTACAGCTCGATCAATCCAGTCTACGATGTTGAGCCCATCGAGAAAATCACAGATGCATATCTTGATCAATACCTGTGGTATCAAGCTGATACTAGACATCTCTTCCCATCCTGGGTCAAGCCGTCGGATTCAGAGGTTCCGCCATTGTTGGTCTATAAATGGGCCCAGGGCATCAACAATCTCACGAATGTCTGGGAGACCAAAGACGGAGAATGCAATGTAATGATCGAGACACAGCTCTCGAAAGTCTACGAGAAAATCGATCTCACTCTGCTCAATCGTCTGCTCCGGCTCATTATGGATCACAATTTGGCCGACTACATCACCTCGAAGAACAATGTCCAGCTGAATTACAAAGATATGAACCATACGAACAGCTATGGCCTGATCCGAGGACTGCAGTTCTCCGGCTTCGTCTTCCAATATTATGGACTGGTTATCGACTTGCTCCTGCTTGGGTTGCAACGTGCTAGTGAGCTTGCAGGACCACCTCAGAGCCCAAACGATTTCTTGCAGTTCCGAGACCGTGAAACAGAAACCAAGCATCCTATCCGGTTGTATACCAGATACATTGACAGGATCTGGGTGTTCTTCAGATTCACTGCCGAAGAATCGAAGGATCTTATCCAACGGTTCTTGACCGAGCAGCCTGATCCGAACTTTGAAAATGTCATAGGCTACAAGAACAAGAAATGCTGGCCTCGTGATTCCAGAATGAGACTTATGAGACACGATGTCAACCTCGGTCGCGCAGTTTTCTGGGATCTCAAGAACAGACTTCCTCGTTCCATTACCACAATCGAGTGGGACGATACCTTCGCAAGCGTGTATTCGCGAGACAACCCTAATCTGTTGTTCTCAATGTGCGGCTTCGAAGTCAGAATCTTACCCAAGATCCGGAACCAGAATGACGAATTCCCTGTGAAGGACAGTGTATGGGCCTTGGCCAACAATGAGACCAAGGAACGCACTGCATATGCCTTCTTGCAAGTCACTGAAGACGACATTCAGAAATTCAACAATCGTATCAGACAGATTTTGATGTCTTCTGGATCGACGACTTTTACCAAGATCGCGAACAAGTGGAATACTGCACTCATTGCCCTGTTCACGTATTACCGAGAAGCAGCTGTTTCGACGGTCAACCTGCTTGATACCATCGTCAAGTGTGAGACCAAAATCCAGACCCGTGTCAAGATTGGCTTGAACTCCAAAATGCCTTCGAGATTCCCTCCTGCCGTGTTTTACACGCCCAAGGAGCTTGGTGGTTTGGGCATGATCTCCGGATCCCATATTCTTATCCCAGCCAGCGACAAGCGGTGGTCAAAGCAGACCGATACCGGTGTGACGCATTATCGTGCCGGTATGTCCCACGACGAAGAGACGCTTATTCCGAATATCTTCCGCTACATCATCCCTTGGGAGGCAGAGTTCATCGATTCACAACGAGTGTGGACTGAATACTCGCAGAAGCGCATGGAAGCGAACCAGCAAAATCGCCGGTTGACTCTGGAAGATCTGGAAGACAGCTGGGATCGAGGTTTGCCACGTATCAACACCCTCTTCCAGAAGGACAGGAGCACGCTCAGCTTTGACAAGGGGTTCAGAACTCGCACAGAATTCAAGCAGTACCAGTTGATGAAGAGCAATCCCTTCTGGTGGACAAGTCAGCGACACGATGGCAAGTTGTGGAACCTGAATGCATACAGAACCGATGTCATCCAAGCCTTGGGTGGTGTTGAAACTATCCTCGAGCACACCCTGTTCAAGGCCACCGCGTTCCCATCCTGGGAAGGTTTGTTCTGGGAACGGGCTAGTGGATTCGAAGAGTCGATGAAGTACAAGAAGCTCACAAATGCTCAACGATCCGGTTTGAATCAAATTCCCAACCGTCGGTTTACCCTATGGTGGTCACCTACTATCAACAGAGCGAACGTCTACGTCGGTTTCCAGGTTCAATTGGATTTGACCGGTATCTTCTTGCACGGCAAGATCCCGACCTTAAAGATCTCCTTGATTCAGATTTTCAGAGCTCATTTGTGGCAGAAGATCCACGAATCTGTGGTTATGGACTTGTGTCAGGTATTTGACCAGGAGCTCGAGCAGTTGGGCATCGAAACTGTTCAGAAAGAGACCATTCATCCTCGAAAATCGTACAAGATGAACAGCTCCTGTGCTGATATTCTCCTCTTTGCCAGCCACAAGTGGAATGTCACTCGGCCGTCGCTGTTGTTCGACACCAAGGACCAGATCGAGGCTACGACAACCAACAAGTTCTGGGTCGATGTGCAGTTGCGATATGGTGATTACGACTCTCACGATATCGAGCGGTATGTTCGAGCCAAGTACTTGGATTACACGACCGACAGTATGAGCATCTACCCGTCGGCAACCGGTCTCATGATTGGCATTGATCTGGCATACAACCTGTACTCTGCCTATGGACAGTACTTCCCGGGTCTCAAGGCTTTGATCCAACAAGCAATGGCTAAAATCATGAAAGCTAACCCTGCTCTGTATGTGCTGCGTGAGCGTATCAGGAAGGGCCTGCAATTGTACGCTTCTGAGACGACCCAGGAGTTCTTGAACTCTCAGAACTACTCGGAGCTGTTCAGCAATCAAACTCAGCTCTTCATTGACGATACCAATGTTTATCGGGTCACCATCCACAAGACATTCGAGGGTAATTTGACTACCAAGCCGATCAACGGAGCAATCTTCATCTTCAACCCCAAGACTGGGCAATTGTTCCTAAAGATCATTCATACCAGTGTTTGGGCCGGTCAGAAGCGGCTTGGTCAATTGGCCAAGTGGAAGACAGCCGAAGAAGTTGCCGCGCTCATCCGGTCGTTGCCCGTCGAGGAACAGCCGAAGCAGCTGATTGTGACTCGAAAAGGTCTGCTTGACCCGCTTGAGGTACATTTGCTGGACTTCCCGAACATCTCCATAAGAGCCTCTGAACTGCAACTTCCTTTCCAGGCTGCGATGAAGGTCGAGAAGTTGGCGGACATGATTCTCCAAGCGAAGGAGCCCCAGATGGTTCTGTTCAACTTGTATGATGAATGGCTGAAGACCATTTCGTCCTACACGGCCTTTTCCCGGCTCATCCTCATCCTACGTGCCTTGCACGTCAACACGGATAAGACCAAGTTGATTCTTCGACCTGACAAGACTGTCATCACACAGCCGCATCACATCTGGCCCAGTCTGTCGGACGAAGATTGGATCAAGGTGGAAGTCCAGCTGAGAGATTTGATCCTCAACGATTACGGGAAGAAGAACAATGTCAATGTCCAATCCCTGACCAGCAGCGAAGTCCGCGATATCATTCTTGGAATGGAGATTTCGGCACCTTCTCTGCAGCGACAGCAAGCCGCCGAACTTGAAAAGCAGCAACAGGATCAACAGCAGCTGACAGCGGTGACGACCAAGACCCAAAATGTGCGCGGTGAAGAGATTGTCGTGACGACCACGTCTCAGTATGAGCAGCAGTCCTTTGCGTCCAAGACCGAATGGCGGACTCGGGCCATCGCCACGTCCAATCTCCGCACCCGCGCAAACAACATCTACATTTCGAGCGACGACATCCATGAATCAGAAGATTCGTACACCTACGTCCTGCCCAAGAACATTCTCAAGAAGTTCATCACCATTGCTGACCTAAGAGTCCAAGTGGCTGGGTACCTGTACGGGTCCTCCCCGCCCGACAATGACCAAGTCAAGGAAATAAAGACCATCGTCATGGTGCCGCAGGTTGGTAGTACACGCGAAGTGCAGCTGCCACATCAGCTCCCACAACACGAGTACCTCAAGACCATGGAGCCGTTGGGCATCATCCACACGGCCTCTGGGAACGAACCATCCTACATGACGCCCCAGGACGTGACGACCCATGCGCGACTGATGGCGCAACACCCGTCGTGGGACAAGAAGACTATCACCCTCGTAGTTTCATTCACTCCCGGCTCCGTGTCCCTGTCGGCCTGGTCCCTCACTCCCGCGGGGTACACGTGGGGCGCCAACAACAAGGACACCCAGTCCGACAATCCTGCGGGCTTCTCGACTTCGTTTGGCGAAAAGACCCAGCTCCTGCTGTCTGACAAGGTCCGCGGCTTCTTCTTGGTGCCGGAGAACGATAGTTGGAATTACAGTTTTATGGGCGCCAGTTTTTCTGCTGTCGAAAAGAGACCTGTTTACGTCAAGATCGATACTCCACGTCGCTTCTATGATGATAGACACCGTCCGGTTCATTTCAGCAGCTTTAATGAGCTCGAGGACATCTGGGCCGATAGGGAGGATGTGTTTGCTTGAGCGGCACAAGCCCAGAGATTTTAGTAGGATGGCCTGGTCGGCGAGCATTGCAGTGCCACACACACAGAGCACGGTACGGGACGGACACAGATGAGATATGCTGATCAATCACTTCTGCATGGATGTAGGAAGGTTAGGGTCAGGTGTACCAAGAAAGCACGGACAAGGCCGATCGGTGGTGTTAGTTGGGGGTTGTTTTCGTGGTTGTGTCCATGAGGTGGCATTCAAGCAACAGGCGTTTATGTTGTTGTTCATGTTCTGGGAGCCACCATGATACATGCAAGCACGCAGAGAGAACATGCACGAGTAGCCTTGGATTAATTAGGTTGTATTATTCAATTTGGAAGGTTGTCTATCATACCTTATCGTTCATGTACGCTTTATTACCGTCACACCTCCTTGTTACTGGCTTAACCGAGTATGAACGAGTAATATTGTCAAATAGAACGAAATGAAATAAGCACAAGCCCAAGGATGACTGTCTGTTGTATGCGTGTTTGCGTACAGGTATATCATGGTTCATTCAAGTACCTATATAGTGTTCTGTGGTATTCATAAACGATCTCAAATCTCCTTCCCCGCGCCGGCGCCCCTGAAAAGTAAAATATGTAAAAGTAAAATATAAAAGCGCCTCAGGCACCCAATCTTCACCATTGATAAGCGCCAATCATGCAGGTAAAAAGTAATACAGTAGTACATCCAACCACTGCAAGGTTCAATGTCTCATGCCACAGCCACAATCAGCTTCAGCCTCGCGTTTCCGATGTTTAAAGTCGCCATGATAGTCGTCCAAAGAGACAAGCTTGTCATCAATCTCATCATCCGGCAGGGCAGGAGGACCCATCCACTCGCCCCACTCTTTGGCTTCCCCCTTCTCCTCCCCCGAGCCGCCGTCGGTAGTCGTAGACGTTTTGACTTTCTTCTCCCTCAACTCTTTAGTGACTTCATCTAGATGATGAGTGAGATCGAGGTACTCTGCAATAAACTGTCCGACCTCGGTGTTCTCGTGGTTCCCCACCAGTCCAGGGGCATGGTCAGGACTCGAGGCGTAGATGTTGACGTCGACGGCACTATGGCCGTGGGTTGACCAGCCGATCTGGGCGCGGCGCGAAATCAGGTCTGCGAAATGATATGCCGGAGGCCAGATGGGTTCAGCGTCGATGATGGCGTCGAGCTCTTCGGGCGTGTAGTCGGTGATTCCAAGGCCGGATTCAATCAGGTCGGCGAGTTTGGTCGATTTATCCTTGCGCGAAGAGGTTGACGAGGAAGAAGATAGATATTTCGACCATTCGCGCGCAAGGTATTCTGTCGAGTGGTTTGCTTTGGCTAGAACTCCAGGATGCCATAGGTACTCTGGGTACGTCTTGTGCAATTGGCGGGCGGTGGCGAGTCCTCCGGTTTCGTGGTCAGATGTGGACACCAGGATTCCGTCCGTATCGTCTTCTTCCAGAAACTTTAGCACCGCGGCAAACGCTTCGTCGTGAGCCATGACTTCGTGCACTTGGGCGGCTGGGTCGTTGGCGTGGCCAGCGTGGTCGATCCGTGATCCTTCGATCATGAGGAAGAAGCCCTTCTCCGAGTCCTTGGTGGCTGCGGACAATGCTTTCAGCGCCAGTCGTGCCATCTCCGCTTGGCTGGGGTAGATGTCTGCCATTTGAGCGCGGTCGATCTCATAGGGAATGTCGGTATCTGCGAGAAGTGCAAGCAACGGCAGATCCACGGGCTTCTTGTGGGTGAGTTTGTCAAATTCGGTCCGGTTGTTAATGTATTGGAATCCAAAGTCTTCTTTAGCCATGCGCACCACATCCGTGGCATCGGCTCTGCACGACCCTTCCGTCGAGTTCGGTAGGAAATGGCATCTCCCGCCACCGATCAGCAAGTCCACGACCCGACCAAGAGGGTAGTTGCCGACCATTTGCTCGGCAATCAAGTCTTCGTATTCTCGACGGTTGGCGTGAGCTGCGAAGCATGCCGGGGTGGCGTCGGTGATTCGTGTCGTGACCACCAGTCCAGTCATGTAGCCTGCCCTCTTGGCCGCTTCCAGCACCGTTCCGCACGGAGAATGGTCGGCCAGCACCGAGATCGCACCATTGTAACTCTTCAATCCGCATGAAAATGCCGTTGCTCCGGCCGCCGAGTCAGTGACCAGACTGTTTGAGCTGCGTGTCCGGGAAGACCCGATCAAATGTTTATCCAGCACCAGTATGTCGTCAATCGGTAGGCTATCCACGTATTGTCTCCAACTCCTGGTCAGCGACAAGGACGTCGGTCCCATGCCGTCTGACACCATGAAAATCATGTTCCGCTTCCCGCTGGGTTTCCCGTCCGGGCCCCATCCTCCTGTCCTTTTTGGTTTCGAGTGCGCAATGGACGATTCGTGCTGATAGACCACGGCGAGGATGATGACAGCCACTGTGGCTAGGAGGGCCCAAACAAATAAGCCGGCCTCGCGCCATTTGCGTGTCTTTGAAGCCGTCGACTCTGGTCGCTGAACTGGTTGCCCAGTAAGGAGCGCATCTTCCTCTTCAATGTCGGAATTCGCAGAGTTGGGCGAACTCGGTCGCGCAAGGAGAGGTTGTTCGGACCGCGCCATGGTGAGATGATTTGTCTATTCTCAGGCTTCCACAACGTACAACTCGGCGAGTCTGGGTGGGGTGACGCGCAGGAGACGAGTTATAACTCCATTGATAGATATGATCCCTTGTGACGACTCCTGGTGACCTGGTTGGCAGGTGATAAACAAGGTCGGGATGGATGAATGAAACAAGAGCCCGACCCCCTGCAAAGCACATGCATCTCAGAACAAGGGCCAAGGCACGTGAGCCCACGTGATTTGAAAGTGTGGTACGGCGGACTATGCGATCCGAGGTGGCAAAACATCGGTCAACTGGCTTCACCCGGATTTTACAGGTTGGGAAGATCAGTGTAAGGTATGCTCAGCAACGCAACCGGAAAGCATCGATACATGGACATTCCTGCCATAATTGGCGGCGACGGTAGGTGACCGCACTCATGGCTGACCACTGCGTCGGTGTTTCTCCCCTCTGCTCCCCTCAAGCTGGAAGTAAGCGTTGTGCTAGTATGGAGACATGTGGACATGCGAACCAAACTCCTGTGCCCTCGAAACGTGCGAATGGATTGTGGCTGTCTATTCCAAACGAGTCTTTCTTTGGTCCCGCCTATGAAAAGTCGTGTCTATGGCAGGGGATGCCTGGGTTACAACCTGAGGTACCAAGATCCAACCCCGTATTACCCCTTGCACGATTTCATCCTGGAATGCGCAAGTCGATATCTGCTCCGAAAAGGTGCAGTCATTCTCTCTCCTGAATTGACAGCATATAATATGAACTCTGAACCAAGGCATTTGAGTACTAACCGCCCTGCTGGATGATTCTTCATTGGCGAGGTTTGTACTGTCGAGTTTCTTATGGAATCGATCCTGTCACAACAGAGGGGACTCTGAGACTCTGGGAAAGGACTGAGAGGGCGTTGCTGTTTGAGCTTGAATGCCTTCAATATCCTACTTCCCCACCAACGCCTGCTCCCGGCCCATCTCACGCCCTACTTCTGCCCGTTTCAACAAGCTGCCATGTCTCGTAGGTCAACAGAGGATCCCTAAACTGGGGCAACTGCCCTTATTAATATTGAGATACAGGATTTGCTGCTAGCGCTACCAAACCGAGTTATGTTGTCGCTCTATTATTTGCCCTAGCCGCAGGGCTTTTCGGTATAGTCAAAATCCTTTGTCTGAATAAATCCCCTGTCCTGACACAGATTGCATACAGCCTTCATTACAAACGATGGAGCCGCCAACCCTTCGGTGCAGGAGTATTATAGCAGCCTTGAGTCCCGTTTGGGATACTGGTTGCTATTAGGAAATACGCGGCATTGCGGCCTATACCCTAAGGGCCAGATCTCTCCGTTTCCAATCAGCAAAGCTCAGCGGGCCATGGAAGATCACGTATACCAGCGACTAGGCCTTCCCCCGGGGTCGCGAGTCTTGGATGCAGGTGCAGGGTCAGGATACGTGGCGATCCATATGGCACAGAAAGGATTGAATGTACAAGCCATTGATATTACACCGATACACTTGGAAGATGCCCGAAGGAATGTGGACAAGCACGGACTGCAAGACAAGGTCGACGTTCGCTTCGGAGATTACCATGATCTTTCGGATTTCTCAGACACGTCTTTTGATGGAATTTACACGATGGAGACCTTCGTTCATGCCGACGAGCCCATCAGAGTCTTGCGCAACTTCTACCGCCTTCTTCGTCCTGGTGGCGTTTTGGTCCTCAACGAGGCGGATTTCAATCGCAATTCTGAGTTGCTGCAGGATGTGCTACGACTGTCACACTGCCAAAACACTCTTGCTGAAGGTGCCCTTGCCGAGATGCTCAAGGAAGTGGGGTTCACAGACGTCGATGTTGAAGACCTCACAGGTGAAGTTTTGCCCCTGTGGCGCCTGTTCGGCGTCATTGGGTATGGGCCATATCATGCCCTGAAATTCTTCGGACTTCATACCCGCTTTACCAACCTTATGGCAGGTGTCGAAGCGTACTTACACTGGGGAGAGGGAAGATATATCTCTGTGAGGGCCGTTAAGCCGGAATAGATTGACCCCCGTCATGCCTGTCTCCGCTCGCAAGGGATCTCGGTGCTCCGGACACTAAACATTGCTCTGGACATCTCATGCCACTTTACAGTAGCTTCAGGGTTCTGGTCCTCCATTCCGAGGATCTCCAGCCACAGGCACCTCCATTTCCCACCTTGGCGCGCCTCGGTGCCCCCGCGCCCCTTGGCCAACAGGGCGTGTCCGATTGTACTCTGGTTCCAAGCTCTGGACATTCAGCACACATACCTGGCATACTTCTTGAATTGTTCATCTGCTCTCAGCCTGTCCAGATCTTCGTCTCTTAGACATATGGCTGCGGAGATCTCGCCGTTCAACGCTTTTGGCATCAGATATATAAGACTCTCGACGGGGTCGAACGCCGGTCTCCGCACAGCCTCCGGTTTACCCACACCCAGGTTGAAATCAAGTTCATATAGCTTTTCCTTGACCCAGGAACTCAGCATGATATCGGAACCCAGGTCCAACGTCGCCGTGACCGAGACGAGATGTCGGTCCTCTGGGTGTTGTTCCAAGAAAGTCGCCAGCGCCCGAGTGTTACGATCCACTGTTGATGTTTTCGGGTCCAGGGCCGCTCGCAAATTTGACGCAACACCGCCCAAAGGCATTTGTAAAAACTCATCCAGGCTATATGTGTGATATGTCATGTTCTGCACCACGCCCATGTATGAGTTCGGAATACCCAAGAAGCGCCTGGGGTCAACGGCTCGGGCGAATGTGACTCTTTGCTTCGGGTCCAACCTCGGCAGCCGGGCTCGCATGATTGACTGCCAGATAAACGCACTGAGAGCGTCATCTGTCGAGATAAAGTCGATCTGCGGATCCATTGTCCGCGTCCCAAGCGCCTTTAGTGCCTCCAACGAGTCCCGAGAAAAGATCCAGGTGGCCCATGAGCATTTTGGGGTGCCATCAAACGGTGAGACCGTTGTAGCAGTAGCCGCAGCCGTGGGTACTGGACTACTGGCAGGTATCTCTTCAGCAGGAGCAACAGGAGCCGGTCTCACCAGCTGCCTTGACAGCTCGGTCCACGGATCAAAGGGTTCTTCCAACAAAGGGATAACACTGCCGCGGTGTCGATTGCCCCAGATCAGCTCGTGGCTGTACGGGTCATCATGACAGTCCATGGATAGTAGACGCATGATCTGGGCCAGGCCAGTCATGTCCATGACGTTGTGTTGGGCGACGAAACTGAGCACCAATCCCTCGTCGATCAGGTTGGCCTGGACCATAAACACGGGCGCCGGGTCGTTTTCTTTGGCAGTCTTGGCCGCGAGCGTACGAATCGGGCAGATGACTATTTCGTCCAACATGTCCATAGGGAACCCGGTGAACCGGAGCACGTCCATGGGCGGTATATCAGGGTTGTCTCTGTAATCTCGAACCACGAGGCGAGGAGTCCGCTCGAAGGGCACGATCTGGTAGGTCCCGTTCGACTTTACCACCTGTCCGGCAACCCAGGGAAAATTGGCCGTCAGCCGTTCCAAGCCCGTCATCAGTCTTCTGATGATGGAGGAGGCTACTTTGGGATCCTCGACCGAATAGCACAAGCATATCTGCGTGTACAGGTTGTAGAGACCCGGCTGTTGCCCAAACACGTCAAGTGGGAAGCCGTTGTCGAGAAATGTCCTCACGTATCTGGGCAAAGTGTTGGGCATAGTGACGAGATGGGATTGGAGATGTTGGCAAGAATCGGTGTACTGTAGATCTCCTTGGGTGAGGGTTGTGCTGTGTGACATGCCATGGATAATAAAAGGTAGTATGTTTTGAGAGGGGCTGGCAACATTCGATTTTGACAGCTCGACCTAGCTTGACCTTGGAACAGATCCGAAGGGGGGTTTTTTTTTTTAACTGCCAGTGGCGGGATCAAAGTCTCAATGTGAGATCTTTGTCTTATTTGGATTTGGTTTATCTGCGCATGGCCGGTGACACTCAGCGGGGTCAAAGTCTGGGGAACAGATTGAGCGCCACTCACTTCCCTCGCACTGTACAGGCGTATTATCACTCTCGATTCATGTGCCATTGTTTGATGAGGTTCATAAGGTTCGACTGCCCTCATGAAATGCTAGAATATCTATGTGCACATATTTACTGGAACTCGCCTACGTTTCGCGGCGCCATGTTCATCATGATTGACGGGGCATGAGCACTTTCAGCCTCGCCAAACCACGTCTCTGTCCAGATCCGGTGCAACAGTTGGAGTCTCCCTTTTGGAACCTGATCATACAAGGGAGCAAGACCAACGGCCGTGGAGTCTGGGGATCTATATGTCTGGGGTCCAGTGACAGCTCGTGGAACGACTGTCACAGACTGAGATCTCATCTTGGCGCGATTGCGCCATTCGGGGACCAGCTTACAATGACAGCTACAAGGCTGAACTACTTTTCTCCCTGTGTGACTTTCTATCCAATGTCGACCTCAAGATTTCGTGGATGGGCAAAATCTCATACTTCCAGTCATGTCATGTTGCGCTGCCGAACTCATTCGACAGCCTTCTAGGAGGTTGAATCGCGGCCTCGACACACTGGTCAGCCTTGACGTTACTGTGGACGCTCCCATAGCCCTGGTTGTGCCGAATATGTTCTTGGAGCGCCAGCTGGGTCAGATCACGAAGAACTGTACGCCGCATGATTCATTTTGTAAGGACATGTCAGTTTGATTATCAAGGAATGTATTTTGGATCCATGATCCAAAGCTACCGCTCAGAGCAGCCATCCCTGTACCACACAACGTAGAAGTTGTTTTGCCGCTCGATTGCGCCTCTCCTCCAATGAAAGACCACTGATAAACAGACTGCGCGCCGCATCACGAACACCCATGCACCGTTGCTTTACAAGTTCAGCTCTGGATGTTGAAAACAAAGACATTCTGCCAAACTTCAAAGAGCTCCCGACTTCAACACGAGTTTTGGCCGGTTCCAATATACCTTCGGCAACCACCGGCTCCAGGATGGCCCCCATATCCCTGCCCGGAACCATTTTTCACCTGACATATTTGGCAACAGAATACCCAGCCGCAGCGAGCGTCAAAAAGATACCCGTCCAAGCCATCAGCCCGCGTCTCGCACTGGCCTTCATAAAGGCCTCCATTGCTTGAGCATCATTCAACCTCGGAAACTCGACATCCTTGGGCACGGGCACACCAAGGATGGCGCAGAGCGGCTCCCAGCCATCACGGACATCATAAAAGAACAATTTCTCCTTGGGGACGACTCTCTTAAGGTGTTCGATATGACGATCCCACATGACTCGAGTCGGTCTCTGAGGCTCGCCTGGTCGGAAATACAATTCGCCCACACGGCCGTCGTCCATGGCATGATGGTAAGTCCAGAACCTGCGCAGCGTGGGCAGCGGCGCGAGGATCCACGACAGAGCAGTCAGATTGGCATTCTCGACGATCGGCGCCAGACTGTTCCACCATTTATCCGGATCGCGGACTGTGCAGATGACCTTGGCGTCCGGGTAGATGTGCATCAGTTCCTCGACAAAGGCATTGGATGGCAGATCGGTGCAGGCGACGTAACCGTCGAGCATTTCCTTCACGCCCGCATGCACGACCTGGCGGTCTTCCTCGCTCTGCACCGGCGTGTGCTTGAAGATATCGATCCAGCGGTTGATATGTGATTCGGGTGATCGGAGAAGTTGCGTGCCGCCGTGGTAGCACGGGCCGTCTAGCAGGTAAGAACACGCCGCGCCAAACGACGTCGTGCCCGTTCTGGATAGTCCGGCTCCTATGACTTTTAAGGTCTTGTCGGGAACTGGTTGGGATGCCGTTTGACCCATCTTGATGGATTGCAGGCGGTCGGTGTCTTGGCTTGGTGAATCAAACGACGACCCAAACTGACCTACAGTAGGTAGGTAGGCAGGGAGGTAGTAGTCGAGAGAAGGCAGAGGTGCAAAAAGAAGCTTTAACAAGAAGCTTTATTTCACCGACGATGATTCCAGTGACGTCTGTCAAATGGTTAATTGCATTGACCACCGGGGAAAGAGTCGAAGTCGAAGTGGAAAAAGAATAAGTATCATGAACCCATTTCGAAAAGGAAACGATCGAGGGTTGAGGTGGGCCATGACCCCAGCTTATCTGTGTTTCAGAAATCTCAAGACCGACCCCGTGCGACTACCCTGCGTTACCATCCCTCTTCAAGTTCTACTTTTACTTTTACTGCCCTGCAGTGCCATCGAGGCCGGCGACGGAGACGGCGACGGAGACGGACGCGCCAAATACAAGGGACACTGGCATGGGGCGGATTGTTGCAGGATGTTCTTGTTGGATCGACTCATTGATGCCCGCAGCTTCGAATTGATTGAGAACCCAGTCAAAGCCAAACAAACGGCTTTCTCCACCACCAGTGGCACTGGCACTTGACTTGCAATGCAATCGCCGAGGGTCCACTCGCTACAAAAAAGTCAGGCTCCACGGATAGGCCCGCCTAGTTGTATATTGCAGATCCAGCCACGTACCCACCCCTACCTAGTACTAGTACCGTTGCTACTATTTACTCTTCGTAAGATCGAGGACAATATGGGACCACGCATCTTGAGTTACTACCTGTGTGCCTTTTTGTTATCGACCAGGACCGGCATTCAAGTTGTAGACCTGCAATTCAGTGCATAAAGTATCACCTACCTTATGGCTGGCTTGCTGCGCGTGGCCAAGGCTGACCTGCCTGGCACTGCATGGTACGGCTGTGCGGTCAATCGTCGCTTACAGTGTTCGCTCGCTCGGCCCGAAACTGCTGCTGCTGATACTACTGCTGCAAATTGGGGGCTTGAAGCTGGACTTGGCCTTTTCTTACGTTCGGCCGGGCCACTCGTGGTACAAGTCTTACAGTGTCAAGGACATGCACATGGTCAGCCTCACCGCCAAAATGGGACACATCCGACTTGCACAGTGGTGACCGAGGAAGTGTGTTCATGCTCAGAACGAGACGGGCACCGAAGCTGGTCTTGTGTCTCCTACTAAGCCCACCACCTACAGTACATATGTACCTATACCTTCGACTGTGCTGGACTCTCGACTTCAATTTGCTGCTGGCCCCTTGCGCAGAGCCAGGGCCGTTGTAGTAGTAGTAGTAGTAGTAGTAGTAGTAGTAGTAGTAGTAGTAGTAGTAGTAGTAGTAGTAGTAGTAGTAGTAGTAGTAGTAGTAGTAGTAGT